GAGTGATTTTTACTACTTTTATCACTACTTTTTTATCATGTCCAGCCTGCATAGGTTTATAACACACTGCAAACAATGTTTAAAGGCTTTATGTATTTTAAATGATGGATTTATTAATGGTTAAAATTGTTCATCATTCTAGGAAATACTTCCTAATACATCCCAAAATGTTGAGCAATTTCTTACTCATAATTTACTAAAACTTAGAGGGATAAGTTATTAACCATTGATAAGAACAACTTTTTAGGTTGTGAAAAATCTTGTTTGCTGATATTACCCACTGGAAGAAAAAAAAAATACAGTGGATCTGGACAAAATCCAACTTTGAACATTTATAACTCCATTATTATCAAATAGGGGAATAGATAAATGCTAGCCAAAGGGGATTTTTGCAACATGGCAACCCAAAATATGTGCTTATTAACAGCTTATAACTGATCTATAATGATAATTTATAAACCATTAACAAAGCATTAGTTACAACTTTTGCAGCAGTTCACACAGAAAGGAGATTTGCATTAACATCAAGAGTGAACACAACAACACTAAGACTGTATATGCACAACAAAGTTTCTTGCTAAGTCCCTTAGCTTGCTCAATTTTATTTCCCTCAAGAATACTTTTGATTCTACCAAAATAAATAGCTAAGAATACCAGCTATCAATTGTACAGCTAGGATCTTGTATGATTTGTGTAACATAAAATCAGCCATTACAACATTAAAAGTCAAAAAGTCATCAAGAAGAAAAAATGTGTTCTAAAGTTAGTGAACAAAATCAGCGCTTTGCATACTTATTAGAGTACAGTCTGCTTTTATCTTCATTCATTGTCCTCATGGAGTATGCACGACTTGTTTCAGACCAGCAGTTCTGTGGGGGGAAGATAACAAAGGCTCAGGGAGAGATCAAGACGCCCAACTGGCCCGACAAGAAATACCCACCAGGAACCAGCTGCTCCTGGCTTATCACTGTGGAGCCCGATATGGTCGGCGGCACACTCACTCCCAGCATGCAAACAGTTTATTTTCCAAATTCTTTACACACAACGAGGAAAACAACAACTGATCAATTGATGTCATATTTCTGTTTCTATTTGGGTACCAGGTAATCCAGGTGAAGTTTGATAAGTTCGTCTTGGAGGATGACACCTATTGTCGCTTTGACTATGTGGCATTCTTTAATGGTGGAGAGAAAGATGATTCACGGCTGATTGGGAGATACTGTGGTGATCAGTCCCCACAGTAAGTGACAGATATCTCTAAAGCTGTTTGATGGCCTTTAAAGTCATCTTAAATAGACTACTCTTAACTTTAAACCTTGTTTTCTACCGTTTCTCGTGTCCAGGCCCATTATTACCAGTGGCAACGTGCTACTGGTCCAGTTTGTGTCTGACCTCAGTGTGACATCTGATGGGTTCCTCGCTTACTATACAAGCATCCCCCGTGGTTCTCAGATACCAACTGTTGACGCAGGACCTGGTACAAGGTCCATCCCTTCAAACCCTGCAGTAAAAGTCATTGAACCTAAGCGTCCCGCCACCACTGCACAGCCACCCGTCCCCACTACCAAACATGCGCCCACCAAGAGGCCCAAACCAGTCAAGCCAGCGAGAGGCCGCGGACAGGGCACCACAGGCCAGGACAGGAGGGTGCCTGTCACAAGGCCAAATGGAAAGAGGCCTGGTGGGTGAAGTTATGTGCACGCTATGTTTGTGTGTCAAAGTGCAGAAGATGTACATCTAATGGGCCTTTTTAATGTTTTCTTTATGTTCTTAGTCCCTCAAAATCCTCTGTGTGCCAAGACCTGTAAAAGAGATGGAACCATCAAGACCAGCTTCTGTGCCAGTGAATTTGGTAAGTTTCTTGCCGTTCATGAATGCAACAAGTATCCAATTAGATGTTGTGTTCTGACTGAGCCCTCCTTTCTTCAGTGTTAACAGGGAAGGTGACCTCTCTGGCCCCTGGGCCCCGAGGCACCCTTGTTGTTAGCGTGTCCCTCATTAAGGCCTACAAGGCAGGTCGGCTAACAATCACGCAAGTCGGAGAGACCATGTCGGTGAAGCTGGTGTCCCAGTGCAAGAAGTGCCCGGTGCTCCGCAGAGGTATCAACATCATGGATTTTCACACACCCCACAGATAATTAACATTTTCATTTACTCAAATATAAAACTGATTAATCTCCATGGTCATTATTTCCTTTCCAATAGGTGGCAACTACATTATCATGGGTCAAGTGGCTGAAGACGGACGTGGAACCCTGGAACCTGGTGCATTCACAGCTCCATACAAAGCCCCACATCACAAATTATTAATGAATATCAACAACCAACCCTGTTAACCTCACGTCTGTCCAGGCCAGGAAATTTAAACAACATATCAAACCCAAATCCAGACATTACAATGTGAAATCAATGTGAGATCTATTAAAAGCACAATATTACAGTAAACTATAACTGCAGTTTTATCCACCATTTTAAAGGAATGCAAATGTATTCAAACACATCCCAAACCTTATGTTTGTAATTTATATTTGAATAAAGGTTATATATCTCTTTCAGCTGGTTTGACTGCATACTTATTTCTAACTTTGCAGCTCTTGCTGTCTTCAACTGTGTCTCTAGTACCACCTAGTGGATTCGAATGGTGATAGCACCCAAACTAAGCTCTTGCTCTTGTGATTTTGTCTAAAGCAGGTCTAGATTTAAAATCCTGTGATATGTGTTGACCATTTGCCATGTAGTCTGAAATCAAGACATCAAGTCTCACATGAAGATTAATGATCCCAGAATGAGTTTTTAAATCTAACTGACTGAAGTGAAATGAGAACATAAATAGCTATTAGATTCAAACAAAAAAAGGATGTCCAGGATGGTCTGGGATCAACTTTGAAAAGAAATAAGCAGATAAAGAACATTTAATAAATGAATTGATGTTGCTGTGGTCAAAACAGACAGATAATACTGAACTGAATATTACAAAGTGAACTTACAAATAGCACATTATAGGTTATTTATTTCAATTGCAGGGCACTTCTTTTTGCACATATAGGATAAACTTAATGGACTAAGCAGAATTGTCACAAACTGCTTCAAATTGTTTGAGATTACCAACACTAAACATCTCCTAGGCCAGACCTACAAAGGCAAAACATACTATAACATGGGTCAAAGGGCTTTTTGAATTGGCAGTACCAACAAAACGGACCAAAAAAAAACCAAACAAAACACAAGTGAAAAGACTTTGGCTGTGCTGCACTGTGGCTTTGTACTGCTGAAGCTACACTCTCTGCCACAGATGAACAGCTAACTACAGCTAATAGAAAGTGAGCTCTCCTGCAAGCTATTTTACTAAAGCTAAGTTTGGTTTAAGATTTGTCCTCTCGTTGTAATCTGTACTGACACTTTGGTCATTCAGTTTGTTACTCCAAATGATTAAATAAAACAGCTGCCATTTAATGGCAAAGAAGGGGAAAAAAACGAACAGCTAAACGCCTGCTAAAGGTAGCTAGCTTAGCAGATGTAGCTGTCATCTTATTTTTTGACTAGGGAATTAATTGAACTCATTTCATGTGGTTTGGTGTAGTTAAGCTAGCTTTAAATACTTACAGTAAATATATCAAATTGTGAATTAATGTATTATATTTGTTTCAGTGTAAATATTAAAGGTCCAGTGCGTAGGATTTAGTGGCCTCTAGCACTCGCGTCACCCTCCCTTTCCAAGCACACTTTTTACTTTCATTTGAATCCCTCAAAAACGGTATCATTTATAGATTCCCTTTCTACGTAAAGTCTAAAGCCTAAACTCTCATTCAGCTTATTCTGTTAAAGAAAGACACAGACTGTTTTTTTTTATATCCTTACAATACATATGAAAACGTACCACTGAAGAGAATGTGACAAGCATCTCCAACCGGGATTTATTTTGGGACAAAGCTAAGAACCCCATGTTGTAACCTTTTTTTTTAAATTACAAACCATTGTTTTAAAGTCTAGAAGAGAAACACTGAACAGCTGGACATTCACATTTTGACATGAAAAACATTAAAAGTCCTCTCACCTAAATGTCTAGTGCCTGAAATGGCTTTGTAGGTGACCTCTGACCCCAATTCTAAACACTTCAGTACCAACATTCATTAACAGCGCAGCATCAGATCTATTGTGATACTTATTTTGTGAGTTCTGTAGCAATCAGTTAGGTAAATAGCACAATCAAAGGACCACAACCTGTTATCTGTTTTACAGTTTGCTGTCCAATCTGAAAACTTTAAACCATTTTTCTCAACTTCAGGGCTTCTGTAGTTCTGCTCTCTGGTCTCTGTGAACAATAACAAAAGAGAACTCTTTATTACACTTAATTTGAAGATACAGCTTGCAGAATATAATCATTATTAGACTAAAGTTATTTTTCATGAAGTACATTCGAAATCAAGACTTTGTTTTGAATGGTATTAATTTGACATTTAAATGACATGAAATGTATTATATAACACATTAAGTAAATATCAAGCAGTCTATGACATGCAGAAACCATTCACATTATCCTGTGATATCTCTGCTAACAGACTCTGTGTTGCTCATAAATAGAACTCAAATGGCCAGATAACACATGTACAAACAGTCATTAATGCATTTTTTCAGAAAAATATACAAAATAATGTATCTGCCTTGCCATGAAGACTGTCAGGAGCTTAACTAGTTTGGACATTAAATGAGAATAAGTAACATGCGTTTGGCAGCTAAAGAAGTGCTATGTGTGGATTAAAATAACAAGAGAAATGCTATGCATTTACATTCTGATCACTCTGATCACATATACTGCAATCTAAACACTCGCCACACTCTTAGAATAATGACATTGTGTGGAAGTTTGCATTGGCCACACTTCTTTTACGTGTTTACCCCATTCAGTGTATTTTATACTTCTTTTATACCTTCTTTTCTCAAATTAAATCGATACAGGTCACAGTTTATCGTTTTCAATTTGCAGATATGAAACACAAAGCTTGACAGGTCAAGTGACACTTTATTGTAAAAAGGTATAAAATACATTCAATGCATTGAAATAGTATACAAAATACAAAAAGCAATATTGACTTTCAAACAATGACTATAAATGATTAAATATGATGGATTTTTACAATGGCTTTAGAAATAGAAAAACAATGGAAATTTGAATTTTTTAAAAAACAAAGATCCAGAATCAAAAAACCCAACTTTCATCATTAAACAAGGATACATATTACAACCATATACAATCATCTTCTCTCCTTTCTTCTCCTCTCCTCTCCTCTCCTACACCCACACGCTGCCCTTCCTCTCCCTCTCTGAAGCCCCCTGTTGACCACAGCAGCCTCCTGGACTAGCCCCACGGTGGCGTGAGGCCGGCAGGTTCTTGTAGACGGCGCGGCTGTAGGGAATGAAACACATGCCCAGCTGGAGGTGTCGGGCCAGGCGGCAGTAGGCAGCCAGCGCCAGAACCAGCAGGGGGGTGAGTAGCAGGAAGCCCACAACCAGCAGAGCCACGCAGCCGGCATCATCCAGCAGGTCTGAGCAATACAGAGATGTTCCATGGGGTTGCACCTGGAGGGTAAGCGGAGGAGGAGGGTGAATGAAAAAAATCATGGACTCTACAGGACATGTACATAAAACTACCTCTAGTTCTTCAGTATGTCCCAGCCTGTACGTCTGTTCCATAGGTTCCAAAACCTCTTTTGACTTAGTATGTAACTAAGTCCAAGGAGGTTTTGAATATTTAGTGTGTCCATATTAGAAGCAGGAGTAATTAAGTTAACTCAAAAGTATAAGTTTGTACTTATGCTGGATTTTTTAATGTATGCTGTTGGAGTGCACCATTGTCCCACAATGCATTGCACAAAGGAACCAAAGCAGCTTAGTCACAGCTGCTAAAAATTAAAACTAAGCTCCAAGAAGACCCAGTAAGATCTTGGAAAACAGTATTGAATCTCTTGAAAAACAGAACAGTGGCATTCCCAAATTCCCAGTCTGACTGACAGTCTACATCATTTCCTGTTAGTACAAAATATTTCTTGTATATTATCTTATATTATCTATTATGACATGTTTTATCAAGACCAGTCTGGCCTACTAGCTTTAAACCTGCATCATCTCAAACCTGTGTCAGTCAAAAAACAATAAAAAAGTGATTTCCACAGTAGACTCTCACCGTGGAGTGGCAGAGGAAGCCGAATATGATCATGGTAAGAGCAGGGGTGAGGATGGTGCCGAAGATGATGCTGGCCAGCCCGGCGTTGATCAGCGCTATGATCATATTCTGTGCAGTGACCAGCACAGAGCATGCCCAGCAGTCCAGAGAGCCCCTTAACTCCAGGGCGTCAGCGGCTTCACTACCCCCCCGGGAGTATGGAGGCGGCACCATGACCCCTGACCCCGCTCTGGAGGGGGAGCCCCGTTCAGAATGGGCTTGCTCGGATACTGTCTTCTCCAGCGTCCCGTTCCGTGACAGACTCATCTTACTTGTGGCCTGTCTATGCTACAGGAAAGAAAATACAGTTTAAGCCCAATAACTTTATTTAACTAATTCATGAATCTACCCAACATTGGGGAGCGAAAGTTTACATTTTGGGGGAAACTGAAAAAATTCAGTGTGCTAAGTATTTCAAGTGTCTGTACTCATGTGTCTGATGTTAAAAAAGTATATCCATAAAAGTTTGTATATTTTTCACTATAATCTTCTGTCCTGTCTACGTGCCCTGATTTCTACTGTCAATCTACTAGAAACCGGGAAAGCTAAAGAATGTTAATCCATTATGCAATGAGTTCCTTAAATAATGTGGTGAAAGGTGTGGAAAGTCAACACAGATAAATCCACAGCACTAAGTGCGAGGAAATGGGCTCCACTGACCCCACCTCCAAACTCCAGGATAACCACCACCCAGAACAATGAGCCAGGAACAGCTGGAAAATTCTGAAAAATCCCACTAATCACTAATCTGAGCATCTGAACGGTGTTATGACTTGATTTTGAAGGAACAAATGTTCAACAACTGTTACCGTCCTAAACAGTTCCACATGACAAATTAAAAGTTCCACCACTTCCCTCTGTTCTTGAGCGTGTTACCATCTCCTGTTATTATGCTAAGTGCCATGTGAACACGTGTTTTACGAGCAATCTCTCATTGTTGTTCGTCTGTCAACATCATTTTAAGTAAATTACAGATCACTAAATTCATCCCGCCCCTTTCCATCAATGTCACTTGTTTGTGATGCCAAGTTGTGGGAAACCAAGTATATATAAAAGCCATCAGAAGACTTTTTGGAATTTGTGTGTTTTTTTTGTGGTTTACTGTCTTTTTCTTTATATTGTATAAATAGCAATAGGAATCTGAAGATTTAGATTTCTCTTTTAAAAGACTTTTATAGGATCTCCAACAACTCAATCTGGCCTAAAAAAAACATTTTTGAATCGCTTTCATTGTGCAGTAGTTCTGTTTGTAAGTGTATGTCAGCAAAGCCTGTCTTCCATTCAATCACTGAGCTGCTCAAGCACTTTCCTTTTGATGACGTCATCAACACAGCTTTCCTGTTAATTGATTGATCAGTTTCAGAAATCAAAACTAACTCTCCAGGATCACAGGAATACACATTAATGAAGAAACGTGTTCAGGGTGTTTGATTAAAATTATGTATTCAGGTAAACTGAGCCCTTTTGTTCGGGTCAGGATCAGCATTTTTGTTTCTCAAACACAGTTTTAATAAAAAAATCAGTGGAGTGGTGATGGAGTTTCTTGTACTCACTGTGGTAAACCTGGTGATGTGTCCTCCTGTAGTTCGATGGAGGCAGCAGATGATGGGACTGAAGAGCAGTGAGTGGTCAGAGACAAAGAGAATTTCAAGAATTTCCTCCTGATGTATGTCTTTTCTGTTTGAAAATCCAGATCTCGAGGGTGATATCCAAGTGAAGGCTGAGTTTCTACTAACTAAATCTAAAACCTTCTCCTTTCGTGTTCTGGCCTATTTCCAAAAAATACCATCAGATATTTTCCTGCTGTTATGAATCTAAACGTTTCCTTCAGTCCTCTTCTAGAGCGGGTCAGAAAAGAGCTCTGCAGACTTGAGGCAAATTCTGCTTTCCCACTGGCTTCAGTGCTTCCTTCCCTGACATTCTGTTTCCTCACTGCGACTCCAGTTTGAGATATGATTTAGTGCGTAAGTGGCTACGAGTGTGTGTGTGAGAGAGTGTATCCTGTGTTGCCTCTGATGCAAATGCACAAAAAGCAGGCTGTGCTGTGTTAAAGGCTGCTGTTAGTGTCTGGGCAGGGGACCAGTGGAGGGTTTCTATGATAACCCCTGGAACCAGGGGGAGGGAGGAAGAGTGTTTATTTGGATAGATTAGAGGAGTCAGGGTATGCTGCCCAATCCACAACACTTTGCACCTTCACTGAGAACTTTCTCTACTCCACTGTCAAATACTGATAAGATGGATTTCAAAATACAAAACAACTGAGTTGGCTTTATATTGACGTTAATGCTTAAACAAAACCCCAAAACTCACAACCTGCTAGTAAACCCTTTTTGCCGTTTTGACACTGACTCTTACATAAAATGTAGCCCATGCTAGAGTCACAATCATACTCTACAGTTCTGATGATGGTGTGAACAATGAGACAGCACAACCCAACTGGTCTGCAGAAACACAGAGCTCTGAAATAAGAAGGTAAAGGGCAAGCCAGAGTTTCTTAAGAAGCAGGACTGACAGAGGATTGGCCCTTGACCTTATGATGAAAAACAGAGCTCTGCTTTCAGAAAACATAAGGAAATGAGGATGGAGAAGGGGGGCGAACTCTGACTAATTTGGTGGGGGAAATAAGCTATCATGGGACTGATAAGAAACCAGAGGGGCTAAGTTCAAAGGGTGAAATTAGTATTTTGATATGAAGTCTCATTTTTGGGCATCTTTGTTTATTTATTTCTTAGATATATTCACTCCCTTAAGAGAATAAGGGCATTTTAACAGTTGGTACAAGGAAAAATGATCAAAGAGTCCATGGCATTAGAGTTAAAAAATGTGGAAGCAATAAGTGGTTTTGCCATTAACAATGCCACAGTGTGCTGTTTATATGCGTATGTCAATGTCTGAGGGGGTTGGTAGAGGAAGAGTGGTCTTCCTGTCCTTGGAACCGGGATATCCGCTGCTGTGTCCACGTTCTATGAAGAGATGTCCCTGCATCTGCAGTTTTGGAAATCTCATGTCCCCTAACCCAGCAGGTTTAGATAGAGGCAGAAATAGCAACCAGTAAGGAAATCGTAGAAAAGACACTGAGAGAATAATAAGCAAATGGTTTAATGTTAGAATACATCTATTGTGTTATTTTAGTTCACCTTATCCTGGGTTGTATCATTGGCAGCATGTAAGGAAGGACTGGGTATCCCACCTTGGTCAAATCATCTAGGCCACACTAGTCAGAGATTTCATTCATTTGAATGAAATGATGAGTGTTACAGTATTAGGAAGACTTTTATTGGATTACTATCCTTATTATCTAAATGGAGCAGCTGTAGTGTTGAAGGGAAACATAAATGCTCTCTCCTCCCGCAACATCAACTCTGAAGGTAGCTTTAAGCAAACTGTTCCAGTGAAGCCACCCAGTGGCCATCAACAGACTCTGACTAAAGGGCAGCTGCAACATTTATGTTTGTGACTACAAAAGAGCAAGGAGCCTATGAATCAGCAGCTCATTTTAAGTAAACATGTACAAACAGAATTTGTAAACAGCATTGTGTCGAGAATAAAAACATAATAAAAGCTAAAGGCTTATTTCCATAGCTGTATGCACAATGTATGAAGGCTGTCACACACTAACACATGAGACATGACAACAGGAAACAGGAAAAAGACTACAGCCACTATTGCTAGCGGCTGTGAGGATGTGCTTCTGCACAGTAGTGCTTTGAGTTAAATACTAACATGCTCACAATGACAATGTTAACATGTTGATGTATTTACTATGATCATCATTTTAGTTTAGCTTGTTAGCCTGCTAACATTTGCTGTAGCTGAGGCTGATGGGAATGTGGTCATAAACCAAAGTACTGGACACATTTAACTTTGAGCAGATGATGATGGTTACCGTTCATCCTGAGGGGGACATGAATGTGTGTACCAACTTTCATGGCAATCCATCAAACAGACATTTCACTCAAAACCACAAACGTCAACTTCATGCTGGCACTAGAGGAAAAGTCACGGGTTCAGCAAAGTCATTAGGGTTCATCCTCTGCTCTGGGAACTATAGAGATCTCTGCCAAATTCCACGGCAATTGATAGTTATTGAGATATTTTAGTCTAGACCAAACAAGTGGACCTACTGACACCACCATCCCTAAGGCCATGCCCCTATTGCTGCAAACATAGCTATACCTTTCTGCCTTTCTGCAAGATCTGGTACTCAAATAATAGTCCCATAGTGACATGTTTACACAGAGTTCATCAAAACAGTACGAACAGTTTTACAAGGAAGCCATGTTTCATGCCTATCAAGTAGCCTTTTAAGTTGGGATTTAATATGGCTTTCTCAGACCACATTGCTTGGTACGAGAAACTATATGCACAGCTGTATTTAATTATACAGTAAAGGTTTTCAAATGAAACAGTGATAGAGAAAAATACGTTGCTCACATTCCATGTTTGCGGTCGATGGTAAACCAACTCTTCCTCCTCAAGAGCTGATAACAGATCATACCCAGCATATGATTGTGGACATGTAAGAAGAGGATGCCTAGATACCTGCAGACAGGACTGCAAGGCAACTGGTGAGAATACAGAAAGGAAATCAAAGGCAAAGACTCAGTGTTGAATAATTTATCAAAACATTTTATTTTCTTGAACAACAATACAATATGTCACAGAAAAATCACAGAGGGATTTAAGACAGGTCTGGCTCAGGTTTTCTTCTATGTGAGTTCTTTTTGAAACAATAAGTGCAGCATAAATCAAACAAGTCAAGAGGAAAAAGAGCATTATTACATCCTTCAAATAATACTAATAATGAGGACAAGACGCAAAAGAACGAAACCTTGACGTCATTAAAAGTCACATCCCTAAAAGTCTCTGCAAAAGTGTCAAGAATTACAACTACTGCTAATGCTCATCATAAAACCACTAATGCCTCACAAGATAATGAATTTCATACAATGGAAAAAAAACGCTTCAAAAGATCTCGTATTCATCTGATAGATACAGTACAAAGACATCATTCCATTTCTGTTACAAGCACCTGTGTTGAAATGGTTCTAAGCACCAACCGGTTGGTTTGAGTTGTCTCACTGACTTCTGTTCATACATCATTATATGTTGTTTAATGAGGGGGCATTGAGGCAAGGAGGGGTCTAGCACCATGAAAATTAAACCACCCTCTGATTGCACTTCCCCTATCCACACATTATGACCATACTACATTGTTAAAATACCTTGTAGCCCCTTATCAAGTGAAGTACCCTTTGATATGCAATAAATATATAAGAAAACAACCATGTACAGTATAAATAATGTCACAATTTACAATTTTCCATTTTCTCTGTAATCCAAAAAAACAGAAACTGACAACAAAAAGAGGTATAAAAGTGGGAAGAAATTCCCATTGCAGTAATTTAAACTAGAGTGAAAGGGGATATTTTTAGGGTGTATTATAATATAGCAACAACAAAAACAAGTGACTGAACAAATTTTACCATATACAAATTAGATTTTTGATTGAAAACAAAACTACATAAGTCTTCTAGTAAACCTGAAAACAGATACATTATGTACAGTAAATGGTGTGCACAGACTAATGAGGGTAGGGGTTATATCTGAATGTTATTAGAATGGTGACAGAGCAGTGATGCTGAACAGCCATATAAATCCTAAAACATAGGCCTAACCTATGCAAACAAATCACTGCGTGTGAGTCCAGTGTAGCAAGTGATAATCAAGCTATCTGCAGGAATCAAAGCTTTTGAATGGACTTTAAAGTAGAGCTAGACCAATAATATCAGCCGATATTAGCTTATTGCAGGTATCAGTGTGGATGTCGGTTGAGAAATAAGAAGAAATTGCAGTACAGAAATGCCAAACCAGGTTAGAGGCCATTTAGAAACAGTGTCTCCATTACATAGTTTGTCCACCAGAGAGCAGTGACAAGTTGATTTTAACACTGTGAAATGAATGTATGTATCTTGGTCATAATTCTTCAAAACAAATCTAAGGCATCTGTATCAAGATTGTTAATGTAATGTCTTTATTGAAAACAAGAATGCCCATTGGTTGGTGTATTTATATTAGATTTTTTTAAAAACAATATCAGTATCGGCCTCATAAATGTAGTATTGGTCAGGCTCCACTTTGAAGCTCTATCAGTTTTGTCTCTCTTGAACTATAACAACATTTAAAGCCAAAGGTTGGACAAAGTAGCCTCAACAAAATGAGGCCTTTTATTTTGAACATGATGATGATGATTACTGGGCCTTTCTTGTCTCAATCCATGTGCTCTTCAACTTGTTAAACTTAGAAATACAGTATACTAAACCCCCTGGCAGTGTGTGGTGCTGAGCCTCTTTCAGAAGGATGTTTGGAGCAAAATAAGAACACTGAGGTGCCATTCAGTCTGCTCATCTGTTTGGCCTCACTGGCTTTTGCATTATAAGATTATGATTGTGTGTCTCTTTGGCCATCAGACTGGAATGGGCACTTCATCGACACAAACATCAATGGCGACTTTGCCCCCCTCTGTGGTTCGTCTATGCACACCACTGTGTATCCCATAAATTCATTCACAATTTACAATTATTTATTTCCTCTCTCCTCTAGAAACAAGAACATAGCAACAAAAGAGGTATAAAACTGGGATTGTTTTCCCAAAAAACGACGCTATGTCTGTTTTCTGGGTGTATCAAAGAAACCACACTAACAACTATTTAGCTGGACTTAGCTGGAAAACAAAAAATTAGATTTTTCCATCTGCATACTTCCTTTCCAACTAAGAATGAAACCAGATTAGTCCTCTAGTAAACCCGTATTTTAGAGAAACTGATAAAAGTTTTTGATTCATTTTTTTAAATACTTACATAAAACCTTATTTGTGGGTGTTTAATCCTCTAATTACCTCTCCTCTAAATACAGTTTTCAAGGCCAATGTGGTGTACTTCTAGGCTGGTAAAACTTTTTAAGTATCTAACGAGAATAAATAAGATTGGAATAGCACCTCAAAGGGTATACAGACAGGAATTACAAATGTCAGAGTTTACCTGAATACCAAACAAAAACAGGAACCAATATGATGCCAAATGTGACAATCAGCTACTTCTCCTGTGAAGCCATTCCCCTGCTGGTACAACAGAATCACAGCAAATTCATGGACATATAGAATAACTAGATTGGTGTAAAAAAGTTCTACTGAATTTGCATAAAAGTACCTGAATTAATACACAGAACCGGCTACTTGACGCTTTTGAATCACAGCAGTGTCCGTTGAACATATAACCTGATTTTCAGTGCTAGCGGTGCTCACTTTTTTTTTTTTTTGTACACATCTGAAATGCTTTTCATGAGAAGTACCAGTCTAGTCATTCTATTTCAAATCACACGTCCAATCAGCAGCTGGTATGGGGAAGACAGTGAGCTAGAGTTGGATTCGCTGAGTATCCATACCTTATTGTGTGATGTAAACAATACTGAGTAAACGTGATTGGCTGATTCAGAGAGTGTTTTTCAGGAATAGATTGCCTTGAAGACAACATTTTGTGCTGCCATTAGAGTTTTGGTTATGGCTGAAAGACGCCAGGGAGGAGTCCTCACTTTGAAAAGGGTGATGGAGCCTGAAGGGGAAGAAAAAGAAAGAAAGACAGAGCTCAGCTGGCCACTTATAAAAGCTGTGTGTGTGTGTGTGTGTGTGTGTGTGTGTGTGTGTGTGTGTGTGTGTGTGTGTGTGTGTGTGTGTGTGTGTGTGTGTCTGCACATGAAGTTATGATTTGGAAACAATTAGGAACCAATTATCAGTTAGAAACAGTATAAACAACGTATCTAAAAATGATCTAATATGCACAAAATACAGACAATAACTCATTATTATTTGTATTTTCCAGTATTTTTGTCCAATTGTGACACCAGTGTTAAGTTTAAATCAATATGTTGTAATAATAAATCTGTACCTGACACCAATACAGGCACAACCTATCACCTAAAAATCACATGTTTTTGCTCATTACTCTAGATGCTACAATATCTAGTATTAAGATGGATCATATATGCTTTTTTTCCGCAGCTATCAAGTAAGGAGGCACGCTGGTGATTTTGCATGTTCAAGCATGTTAAATACATATCATCTGCAGGGGCAAAACGGTATGAAAATCACCTTGAAATTTGCTCTGGATAGGTATTCCACCACCGCGAACATTTAGTTTGCACTACCAGTTTTAAAAGTTAGGGTCTGATGCGCTTGCTTGCAGCTACTAAGCGTTGCAATAATAATGTAAACTGGGACAAAAACTGTAATGGATCACCAAGTTTCAATACTCTTAAAGCTGAACTGAAAAAAACAATAGAAAATCTTATGGTTTCCTGGTGAAGAGTGATGTAATGTACAGACTAAAACATGCAAAACCACAATGATTTCAAGTTTCTCAGATCTCATACAGGATTTGTAATACAGCCCTGCACCTTAGAACTGCAGAAGAATGACAACATTATATAGATGAAACAATATGGAGTCTTGGTTGTACCTGATCTAGCCTCAGAACCTTTCTCTGGCATCACAGCTAGTGAACAAGATTAGAAAGTTAGACTGACCAGTGTGAAGCTGTCGTAGGTTTTCATCAGCTCTTCTATCCGATACTGTTCCAGCACCACTACTCCTGCCAGCAATGGACTCTTAGCTCGAGCACAGTCCTCACAGTGCACCACATAGCTCTTCTTACTGCTGTTCTCGCTGGTCACAAACAGCAGGTTATACACCTCCACCTGCACACACACACAGTTTCGGTACTACAGTTCATTTCATGTTTGGAATGCGTCTACAACATAAACGCAAATGGACAATTTACTGTATGACTCACGTCACACTCATTGCAGTAGTAGGCTGGCTCGTCCTTCACACGACTCTGGTAACAGATCTTCTTCCCTGCAGCCACCAGCTGGTCTCTCAGAATCTGGATGTGCTTGATGGACTGCATCAGGCAGTGTCTGAGGGAGACAGAGAGGCAGACAGAGAAAGACGTAAACAAACACACACACACACACACACACACACACACACACAGGTAAGCACAAAGAGACATCTTACTTGATCATCTTGAAGGTGTCCTGGTCGCTGATCTTGATGGTGCGAGCCACATTCCAGGAAACGTGGATCATGGGAACGATTGACTTAACCTTCTTCACCACGTTCCACTCAAAACGCTCCAGGGCGAGTTGATATTGGTACGCTGGGAGAGCAAAAAAACACAAACAGAGGTGAGGCTGTATTTAGGCAGCATATTAAACAGAATATTTCATTTGTAATTTGAGACAAAGCACAACTCCTGATTACCAAGATTTAGGCTGCTATTTTTCTCTTTTTTACTCGTAACTTACAGTTGAGTGGTCCCACGTTCCAGGCGATGTTGTTGCACCAGCCCACCGCCTGGACCCAGTGTACAGTCCCTGCATTAATCCACACCAGGTCTCCCGGCCTCTGAATGAAGCGGTACACAGGAATGTTGGAGCTGTAGAGGTCTTCCAGGACTGGCCACCAGGATCCTGTAAGGTAGTCTACTTGATGCCTGGGGGAAACAGTTTGGAACGTACAATTCAGCATGCACAGAAACTCTAGCTTCTCGCTACATCTGTTGTTAAATGTCACAGCCTCTTCACTCACTTCTCACAGAATTTGTTGATAGCCCCCCAGTAGTGCTCATGGACAGCAAACCACTCGCAGTCACCAGGCCCGATGTTGATGTTGACTGAGCAGAAGTTGTTGTTCTCCTGATGACCTGATGAGGAATGCAAATAGTCAGTTTACTCATTCAAGAACGTCCTTTGCCACTTCTCAAGTCAAAATATCACTTCACTTAAGCCTAGATGTGTTATCAGAAACACACTGACCTGGTGTGCGGCTGCCTGGCACCTTCATGTAGAGCTGGACAGTGTTCATGCCCAGGATGGTGTGACCGACGTGACTGAGCATGTTGTTGCTGGATTCCACACGCATGAAAGCTGGCAGCTTTAGCAGCTCCTGCAGCTGGGGCTTCCACCTTACAAACAAATATGACAGGCAATGTGAAACGTCAAGGATCTTAATGTGAGCACAGTTAAAGCGGGCAGAATTTTATTACACAATCTCACCTCTTAGGGTCAGAGAGATCAATATTTGTCCCAAATTTAATGATCTTTCCCACTGTTTTCTCTGAGCTGGGGAGAAGAACAAAGTCTGAGTTGAGTATTGTTAACACAGTAAAACAGTGAATTCATAATACGAACAGATCACAGTTTCATGCTAACCTGGGTGTGCCGGTGGGATTAACAGACAAAACGGGAGCAGCTTTGCTGTTGGCTAGTGCCAGACCGGCTGATGGGTCTGAAGAGTTGACCTGCTCTCCTTCTTCTTCATTCTCACTCTCCTTCTCCTCCTATAACACATCTACATGAGCTTAGCTGACAGGTTGGCCAACAGCTAAAAATGAAAGCATCATTACACAGTTCACTGTTGAGGTTAGTCTTGGACAAAGGTTATGTGTAACAGATGATTATTTACGGTATCTACTACATGTATGGATTTCATTAGTCCTTACACTTGTAGCAGCTGACGATGAATTAAAATTTGCACGCTTGCTTTGCTTTTCTATGGAATTAATGGGAGGACTGTATGAGTTGATCATAGTAACTACTGTACTGCATTAGTGGTTCAAGAATGCAGCACAACTCTGAAATATTACATGGAACTCTAACCTTGGTTCACATTGTCAAGAGTAAATAGAGTTATATATTTGTGTGCCATTCTCTTCCTCTCTATTCCAGCATCAAGAAAAACAACTTATTTACCTACTGATAGCTCAAGAGGCATAGTACACCAGAGATTATACAAAATGAGGCTGAACTCAAATCTATTAGCCACTGGTTTAAATGTCAAATTGTTTAAGTCACTGGTACGCTTAAACAATGGGCCTCATGCAAGGACACTTTTCTATTTGTACTTGTCGTAAATACATTTTTTACTGATTCAGATGAATGTCACATGTTCATGAGGAGATGTGCATAAACAGCACAGTCATATGTCCGTCTGTTTCTTGGTTTCATTAATAGAAATGTTACCAGAGAGACTTTCACAGATATAGTGGCAGAAATAATCTCACAATATCTGACATTAAGTTAGATACTAAAAGACGATATGAGAGGTGGTCAAAGGGGATGTGAAAGTCATGTAGATAATAGACGACAGAATATAACAACATGCAGTAGGTGATGTTACACTGTTGGGGGAGAATGGTTCTAGATAGTAATCTGAAAAAACCTCTCAGTAAATTAAAAACCATGATGATGATTATATGGTGACTAGAATATTAAGTTTGTCTTAGTTATATATTTGAGTTAGTTTCTGCACCCTATTTATACTCCTAATTATATATAGATTAAGGCATCTGAAGTCTGAAACTGATCATATTAAGGTGTTATGATTTCAGGTCAAATGGGTGTTTTTCCGCTGTGCAGAAAAGCAGACATCTGTACATAAGCACAGGTAGAGTTTATTAAAAACTAGGAGAGAATTGGTGAATGGTAAATGCCACAGAGTCTCTTAAATCGCTCGTACATGCCATGATGAAGTGACTCAGGTTTATTACAGGTAGGTGGTCAGCGATTTATGTTATATTATAAGACAACATCACTTATTTACAGAATTTTTGGTAATTTTAATCAAATTCCAGGTGTTTCATGTGTTTCATTAGTCTCTAAATTTCCAGGTTATGCAGTTTTTCCAGGACGTGTGGGAACACTGAATACAGGCTGGTGTAGGTAAATTAAAAATGCCTTTAATTATATCCATATCCACTAAACAATCCTGTTGCCATGGGTGCATGTGTTTGCCATGAGGGGAAATGTTTACCTGCAGGCTCTCCTGGAAGCTGGAGGCCTGGTACTGGGCGTACTTGGCAATGGTGGTGTGTGAGCGGCTGCTTTCGCAGGGCCATGTCTGCGCCGAACCACTGGGATCCCAGTTCTCATCAGCAGGCTGCTGAACCTGAGTCCTCACTTCCACTGCATGCTCCGCGTTGGCCTCCACCAGGGATTTAGTTGAGAACAGACCAAGGTCTCACATAAGGAACAGAAAGTAGAGCACAAAGATAATTATCAATGATCAATTTTTTATTATTTAAAAGTTTTGACTTGTTAAGGCCTTGGGATTTTTAAAAACACCCACAAATGGTTGTATTCCCAGTTATGTTATATTCACTACTTTATTTTCTGACTCTAAGCTTAAAATATTTTATACAATAAGGTGTGGCATAAAGAAAAGGGAGTAGGAATAAGATTAGTTTATCTATACTGAAAGATTGTAAAATGCACACACTGAAATATGTAAACGTGTTACAAGGAACAATCCTGGGTCATAGTACAATCTCCCAGTGGCCCAGCCATCGTGTCATGGTTGAGCATACATGGTTTGCATTCAAATATGGATCATAAAGACACAATAGTGATGTGACTGTGAAAATATGGTGCTGTATGCTGCCCTATTAGCAGGTTGGCTGTAGAGTTGTAAGACACAGCACTTAGAACCAACAGTTTTTGCATTGTTTGTCAAATCTTCACCCCTGACCTTGTATCTGCACATTACTCTCATAATGATTGTGAAAGATACATTCACAGTTGGTCTTTGCATATTTGCATTATAGAAATGACTCAATATATCAAATACCGTAACCGTCATGTGTAAAATGTCTAGTACAGCGGAACTAAACCCTAAAAGTTTCACGATACGCTTAAATTAGATCTGAATAACCAATGCCTCCTTTCCTTTTTCTTTCTCTTACCCTGCTCCTTTCAAGACAATTTTCCCAAAACAAAAGTCCGTAATTAATGGCAATTTGCTACTAATCACCAAAAACCCATTTAGAGTGAATTTAATAAATTCTGTTGGGCTAAATAGAGTAAATGGTGTGAGATAAATTAGCTGAGATGAGTATGGTGTATAAACTTACTAAGGCGGAGAGAGCCAGCAAGGCCTCTGATGACAGTAACAGCATTTTTGGGATCAGTGCAGAACTGGAGCAGAACTGGAGAGAAGGCGTCCCTTTTGCTCTCCAACTGCAGAAAAAAACACAGTGCAATTATGAACATTTGAATGCAGCAAAAGAAAAAATTTTGAATCTTGAAAACAAATGAAAAATACTGACAGTAGGTTGGAAACCTGTAGATGTCTTGAAACAAGGTATGATAAGGCAGCTCTCTCTGCTGCTATCGAGAAAATGATCCAAGAAATAATTCAAGTGATTTCAAATAATTCAGTAGGATTATGGCGGTGATTCACAGTCTTTTCTATTCATATAAGAACAAGACCAAGAGTCTACAGCCATGCTAGGGGCTCTGTGAGGCTGTACACAGCAGTGCTAACATAGTTCCCAATGTCAATGCTAGCATGCTGATGTTATATATATGTTGACCATGTTCGCCATCTTAGTTTAGTGTGTTAGCATGCTAACATTTACCAATTAACACTAAACACATAGTACAGCTGAGGCTGATGGGAATGTCAGAAAGTATTAGACTAATTAAAGTTTTGGTGATAGACGAAAATTTAAGGGATCACCAAAGTCGTTACAATTCATCCTGAGGGGGACACGGATACCTGGACAATATGTTGTGCCAAGCCATGACCATTGTTATTGAGATACTGCAGTTTCGAGTGGTGGACCGGCTGATCGACCGACCTCCAGGCCGACATTGCCATCCCTAGAACCATGCCGCTAGCATGGCTAAAAACATGTTTTTAGGATTCAATACTTGATGATTGTTGGGCTGGATCATTTTGACTATGCTAATCCGTGCGGACTCACATAGATGCTTGGTGTAGGAGGGTTAAGCTTTTCCCGCGGAATGGGAGTCTCGATGGAAATGCTAGGTTTAACAGAGAAGGCAGGAAGCAGGAACGACTCCTTGAATTTCTCCTTCACCCTTGTCCCCCTATAGAAAAGATGACAATAGGAGACAAAATACATCAAGAAGAACAACTCAGATGTAAAACCTACTGTGAAATTTACAACTGAAAATTCTATTAAGTAGAGTACTCACTTGCAAGCTCTGATCACATCAGTGGCAGTGTTTTCGATGCTGATCTTGGAAAGTGGGATTCTTTGCTCCTCAACCTCGGATATGTTGAATGTTTGTCTTCCAGCACTCTCCACTTTAATCAAGAGGATCTTCAGCTCCTTAGACAAGCCCATGGACAATGCTTTCAGTTTCAGTGGGTCAACTGGAGCTAATGAGCTGGGAGGTTTACTTGCCAGTGTGGATGCGCATAATTTGGATGTATTGATTGTTATGGCTGACGCTGAGCTAGAGATCTTGGTATTTGTGTTTCTATCTTGCGTTTTATTTTCTAACTCACAGATGTCTTCCTTTTCCTCTGTTATTATCTTTTTCTCAGTGTTCCCAGTGTCCACTTTTTCTCTCTGGATGTCTTTGCCATGCTGGGTTTGATTTTCCTGAGGAATCTGTCCCTTTGTAATATCTTTGAGAGGTCTGGGTGAGTTTCTGGAGATGACAAGCACTGAGGATGAAACATCCCTTTCCCCCAAACCACTTTTTTCATTTGCTTTGCTTTTAGGACATATGACACTGCCTTCTTCTGCCTTTATCTTAATCTTGAGCTCTCCTTCTCTCCCTCTGTCCTTAGCCTTTTGTTTTCTTTTTCTGTCTGTCCCAATGTGTTGTTGTGTCTCTTCCTTGATTCCTCTCTCTTCCTTGGTAGAGACAGTAATGAGGCTGGTGAATGGGGTTGTATGTGTTGTGGTCAGTCTCAGCTTTGCACTCAGTGATCCGTTCAAAAGAGATGACTCTGTATCCTTACCCTCTCGTTTCTCTTTTGTATCATTCTCCATCTCTTCCTGTTTTTTCTGCACCGGGGCATCCGTAACAGGCTCCCTCAGATCTGGTGGACTGTGGGATTTCAAACATGTGTCTGAGGTAGTGTGGGTTGGTGATTGATTGCCGGTTTTGGAGGATGCTGTGGGATCTGATTCGGGGGAGAAATCTTGATGCTCGTGACATTGGATCTCTGGTCCCAATGCAAGAGAAGACGAGTACTTCACTCCTCTAATGGTGCCAGCAGGTGGCCCCCCAAACGGACCTCCTCTGCATGGGACCCTCTGGCTACCAAGAAACGTGGCCAGGCTCTTAAAGACATCATCCAAGCCTGTTTTATGGTGGTGAAGCTCACGAAGAAGAGAGCTAGAAGTTTCCCCGCTGCTGTCCACCTCTTCTTCCTTTTCTTTCTCAGCAACGTCTTCTGTTGAACAAGATAGATCACAGAGTTCAGCCGTGCCATTGTGGGAATAATCGGCCTGTGCACCTTCACAAGGCTCCTTATTCTTATCATCAATGCTCTCGCTGTCGACAGGAGGAGGAGAAAAGCACTGTGTGGGGCTGGGCTGGAGGACAGGTCTACTTATCACTCCCTTCTCTAGCTCCTCCTCATCTTCTCCCAGAGCTGATACTGGAGAGCCCTGCCAGCTGAGAACAGGAGGAGTATTTGCAAGGTTGTCTCCCATTTCCTGCAAATTTCCCATCACGGCAACAGGCTGTAGGTCTGGGGCATTGAGAACCCCTCCCTGCCCACCTTCTTTGCCATGGATGGGTTTCTCTAAGCTAATAGAACATGCTGTAGTGAGAGGTGCTAAGGCTTTAAATAACAAGGAGGGGAGTGTGTCATTGGGCTTTGCTTTTGGTCCGTCTTCTGATTGGGATGAGACGATGGTAGGCCTCTTGCTGGTCTGTTTGGGGCTGGTGTTCCTGGGAAGAGACTGTATTAATTGTTCCTTGCCAGGGAGTTTTGGGGGATTGCTGTTCTTCTTGGGCATTTTGTGATTTTCAGATTTTGAGGATGGCTGTGTTGAAGTGCAGCTGGGATGAGGAGTATTTGTGGATGTCCGGTGTGTCTTCCCCGCTCGTTCACTCCTCTCCCTGTGCTTGTGTTTGGGTGGTAACTGGCCTTGATTCTTTGGGGACAGAATTGTGGTCTCCATTTTACTCATTTTGGCCTCTCCTGAGGAGTTGGAAGTACCGATGGAAGTAAACATTTCCTTTTCTGTGGCTTTACTTTTCAAACCTAACTTTCTTTCCTTTTTTGCTGCTTTATCCCTCTTCTTTTTTCTCTCGCCCAACCTTTTCTCCTCTTTTTTCTTCCGCCTTTTTCTTTCTTCACCCTTTCTGTTAGTCTTTGGAACTTCAGCCTTTCTCTCCTTTTTCATCAGCTTATCAGTTTTTTTGTGTTCTTCCAACTCCTTCTCAGGCTTGTTTGCCCTTGATCTGCTGTGGGGAGACTGTCGTGAGCAGAGGGGCTGTGAGGTCTTTCTGTATTTGACGTCTGAAAACCTGGATTTTACACCAGCATGAGATGGAAGAGACATGGTCGTTGTCAGGCAAGGTCTCTGGGAGTGATTAGGACTTCCCTGGAGTTTCTGCTGTCCACTGAGGCCAGGACTACACTGATGAATGATTGATGGATCTTTTCTGCCAATGGCCACTGTGTATGAAGAGGGACTGGAAGGAGCGTGTGGACTGCTGGCAGTAGAACCTCCATCTTTAGGACCGCAGAGGAAGGATGAATAGGGTGGAGAGTCTGCACCAGAAGACCTGGAGAGGGCTGGATCCCTTGAAATCACCCTTTGATGAGGGCGCTGAGGTTCCTGCAGGGTTAGCATTATATCTGTTTAGACTTTTGTTCAGGTATAGGACATTCCATTAAACCATATATCAGTCCCTCCAGGATTTCACAATGCCTGTCAGCTTTTTAAAACACTGCGATGCATTTTGCAAAGCTCTAGGCCTTTTTTTTCTTCAGAGAGCAAAAATTGCAAAAAGTTGCTTTTTTTGTATAATTCATGAAAAAATGAAGGCAGCTTCTTCCAGGGAGAATAAAATTGCTCATAGTTTGGTGATTGGAGAAAATTGCAAGGTCTTGCAGATCGGTTGAATATGAGTTAATTGTTGCCATCACAACATCATAACAATAAGCAACTGATGGACTGATATATTGTACTCGTATACTGACATTAATAGTAGAGCAATTTAGGCCTGGTGACTTGGCACCAAAACAGCCTTTGAATAGGAAGAGATATTGAGAGCTTTCATGTCTAATTTACTATTTCCGTGTACTAATCACAAATATTCATGTGGACACACTACCTTTTAGTAAGAGCAAAGACAGTGTAATAGAAAACTTGAAAGTATGCTGAAAGTCTGATCAAGACAGAGATGTGTGTTCATGCTTTTCTAATGTGTATTCCTTACTGTGCTTTGTTTGTGGTGATAAATCCTTGAGTCCTTTTCCTCAAGAGGGTGTAGCGATGGGTTGTGCTGTAGGGCTCTGGGGTGGCCTGTGTGCCGTTGATAGTGGTAATGATGGTTTTGGTGGCTGTAAGGCACACGGGTGTGGTCTGCTGGTGAAGACGAGATTTTCCGGTCGACCTTCCCTCTGCTTCCATGATGTGGTGGTCTGCTGCCACAGTTCTGGTTTAGAGCTGCTAGATTACTGTTACTGAAGCCATGCCCTCCAGCTCGCAGTTTAGAGGTTTCCTGCAAATTTCAAAACCAAAAATAGAAATTAATAATGATCAACATTTAGTAATGATTTACTTGTTATACAAGCTTACCTGTTGCTGTGTTGTTGAGGTCCTGTGGTCAGTGTGGTGACAAGGACCCCCTCTGTCATTAAGAGGCTTCCAGTCATCTTGGTTGCAGCGGTAGTGGCGAGGTGGTGATGGGGCATGGGCAAGTAAAGGTAAATGCCTTGTTCCAGGATGAGACGACTGAACAGAGAAGCATAAATATCCCATCATAGATGGTACTTTACCAATGGGTGGCACTACAGGACAGAAATTAACTTTAACAAAGGAAACAAACTTTACCTGATCAGGGCCAGAGTCCCTTCTCCTCTTGGCCGGACACTCTTCCCTAGAGGGTAAAGGGTGCTGTGGAGGTGGACTGTGCTGGTGCAGGTGGTCTCGCCGCTGGTGGAGGGTTGGCCGTTTCCAGGGTCCTGGTCTGTTGTTTATCATTCTGCCTGGAAAGCTCCTGTGACAGTCTGAAGGGGCCCATCTTTCTGGCGGAGACTGGAGGTCTCTGTTGTTGCGATGCAGGCGAGGACCCCCATGCTAACAGTCAAAAAGAAAAAAAGGTAGACAATAATTAAAAAGTCAAATGATTACACACTCACTAGTTCCAATAACAACATGAACTCTTTTGAAAGTAATGTTGTTCCAGATCTGCAGGTCTCACCACAGAGTTGCTAACATTGTTGTCCCAGTTCGCGTAGCGATCTCCTGGTCCCGTTAGATAACCGTTGTTGGTGCCCGCTCGGGTGTGGAATGAGCGTGTGGAGTTGTGATGCCAGTTCTGGGCCTCAAACGGTCGCTCTTTACCATCCCAAAGACGTAAAGGCTGTCTGTGCCCCTTAGAAATACCCTTGTCCTGGACATGGTTGATGGTTCTCTCCCCCCTAAGCAAAAGACCAATGGAACTCAGCAACAAGTATCGTGATTGACTGATTCAAAACAATGATGCAACTACATGATACAAATGGGACTTTATACATCAAGTGATTACTCATATCCCTGGGGGCTGTTCTGCAGCTCAAGAAGCAAGTGAAGTGAAGTTGTCTCTTCAACTGTTTTAAAAAGCCATACTTTATCAATCCAAGTGATTTCAGTAACACATGCATTGCAGTATGTAACTTATTTTGAGATTACCTGTGCATGTATGAATGATGTTTAAATACAGATTTACTCACCTATTATAAAGACGATTTGATGGTAAATGATGTGATTGATTGCGCCCGTCTTGGCATCTGTAGTAACAACAAAAACATACAGAAAATCTCTACTGTCTGAAGACAATAATGCAGCTGAGAGTTGAAAATATACAGCTCATGCAGATATAACAAATCAAGGAACTCTATATAGGAAGTCTTGTTGGTCGTGGCTAGAAGTCAGGTAGAAGCCAAACTTACTCTTGACTGGTTTTCAGTTTTTCAAGTGTTCTTTCTTTGAATGTCAAAATCAAAGGTTCCTAAGCATAACATTAACGTCTCAAATATAAGATGTTACTTCAAGGGAATTTCTTTTTCTGCGTCTTTTAGTGACTTCTTTTAATATCCTATAAGAAAAAAACATCCACTTTTGTAGCAATAAACCTCTTTGACCTCACTGAATATAAAATACATTTGCATAACTTGTTAATAAAGTGCTTCTAGAGTATCTTAAACCCCAAAGGGTTATGTGTCATTGTCAACTTTCTAAACAGACAACTGGATAACCCAATAATTGATATTTGTTTACTTTTTATTACTTATCAAAGTCTTTAATTTGACCTTTCTTAGCTGGTTGAACCTAAAGTACAGTGTTGTTCAGTGCAAACCTGTCAGTTATATGCTATAAAGTTTGTGTATTGTATTTAGTTAAGGGCTGTGTCTATGTCACACCTCTTTATCAGTCACAACTGCTAGCATTTCCAAAACCACAACCAGACAGCTACAGATACAATCATATTAACTCGAGCCAACTTCAACTGCTGCAGCTGAACAGTTAGATTGAGGTTTCTCTGAGCTGCAGCTGAGGAAGTTATAGCTTCATTCAGTCCTGCTTGTTTAAACTGCAGATGGGCTAATGCTCACAGCTGCAGCTGTAGTAAGAGCTTTTCATGAATATCCTCATCACAGTTTCAGTTAATCAGTTAGTCCCTTAAAGTGGTGCTTATCTTGAATCAACCCAGACAACAAAGGCTGAAGTCCCACCTGCTGGAATGACCTTTGCCGGCGAAGTTCAAGTTGTCTACTATCCACTGAGTTTAAATTTCATGTGTTTTTTTACAACTCTCTAGGTGTGCAAGGCATTTCTATTGCATCTGTGTTTTTACTGTTAAAGCCAACAGTGTCCCATTTGACTGCAAGGTTACTATAGTCTTATTAGATGTTTTGGTTGATGTTCATGACAAAACATAATGCATGATCATGAGAACAAAACTATATTATGGTACATGGTGACGCTGCGAATGGACTACTGTCCATCATATAAAAGATAACACTGTGCAAACACTATGTGTGTATGAAGGTGCTGCTGACCTTTGTGTGTGGCTCCAGGGGCGACCGTTTACAGGAGCCCATTGTCCTCTGTTAGGACCTCCAGCTGGATAGGAGTCCCATGTGTTTCGGCCAGAGTACAGCTCTGCTGGGTGATACATGCAGCCTGAAAGACAAATGTTGTTTAATGTGTATGGTGTTCAGATTTTTAATAAATAAATGAACAAATAAACAAACAAATGATATCTCATTTAAAGAAAGTCTGACCACATGAAATGCAATACAGAAGTGCTGCCACTTTCAATCAGATTTTAGCTTATGCAAGGACAATGCCCACACCTCTGCATTGTGCAGTCATTTTAATTTGTGAGTAGTTCTTACATGTACACAATGCATAACTCAAATGAAGGGATGCTTTAATTCCTGGATGCCTATTCAGAAGACTACTCTACTCACTCATTCATTATTTGAAAAAGCTTCATGTGACTGTTTAATTAGACACCCAGTGCCTTTGCAGTACTGCAATGTAAAACTGTAATGTAGTACTACCGTAATACTATAAAGTGCTACAGTTGTGCACATACTGAAGTATATGTTTGCATTTAAACAGCCACACACAAAGTACAGAGGCAGAAATGTTTTGTGGTTACCAGTCTTGGTCTGTGTTTGGGAGGCCCTCCACTTCACACCTGAGAGCAAAAAACAGCCTGTGGACAATACACATGGTTGAGAGATGCATCCATATCTGACTAGAGAGAGAGAAACATGTATTTCCATACCATATTTACACAGTATTGCTTTTATTCTTATTCTTAATAACAAATATGCCTTTTATCTCTGTGGGTCTGTTGACATCGAGTGTGATTTTGTCTAGCTGTGGTAGATTTTATTTCCTCATGCTGTTTCTTTTTTTTTTTTTGCTGCACTGTATCTGTGGAGCGGTCATATCATCAGTCAGCCAGAGCTACATTGTGCATTCAGCCTCTCTCTAATCACTGCTACCCAGCAGTCGCCACAGCCAGTGGCCATCCGATGACAGAAAAAAAACATGGCACTACGACGAAGGACCATGGCAACCTCACTTTAAGAACAAAGAAAGGCAGAGAAAAAAAAAACTGGTTGGGCTGCTGCTGTCTTTTTCTCACAGTATAGTATAAGCTCTGATTCTGATAACTCTGACAGAACTGGTGGTCAAATCAACAGCACCCATCTTCCATCCAGTGCCTCATGGTTCATCATCAGACGCTAGTTCAGTAGATCTATGGTGTGAGAACAGTGAGCTGTATAGCTGCCCGCTGTGTACTGAACCACTATAGCAGATCAGGTGTGATCAGCTGGCTGTGTCTCTGTTGTTCACTTTGTCTGACCACAATTTCTAACACTTAGCCTCGTCTGCCTCATCTGCCTCTTTCACTCTTTTTGATTTAAATAGAATAAAGTTGCATACAGGTCGCCTCTTTTATCATAGACGAAAAGACCTCTTACTGTCTCTACTGCTGCTGCCTTACACTTCAACACTATATATTGTGCTAAAGTGAGCTGACCTCATGCAGATTAACTTTGCATTTCTCTACTAGAGACAGGTTGCACCTCTATATGCATTCATTTCCCACAGCGATTTATAAATAGTATGAAGAACTGTTGTGCAACATTTTACCACTTCCCTAGTGGTACACGTTTGTTTCATACAGGTTTGTTTGTGGTAAGACGGTTGCAGCTGTGCTATAATAACCTCTCTGTGAGTGCTGAATGAGCTAAGTGAGCCACCTCCTCAAGAGTCCATTTGCAACCAGTTGCTAGAGCAACTGAAGCCAGACTGTTCTTGCTGCTGTGGCTTTAGGCTTTTTAGAGTTAACTGCATTTAGATTTATTTTTGGAGTAGAAAGAGAGTAAAAAAGGCCTTCATGTATATACAATGGTACGTTACAGTAAAGTAAGACTGCTTGCCTTTATCCTAACATACAGCACTGTATGTCATCATGTACAATAGACAGTGTGTCTGGTTATAGCCACTCTAATCCTCATATCACCTCATGTTCCACTAAAATCTCCTCTTTGAGAGACCAGCTTCCTGAGCTACTAGGATTCTCTGCTAATGCTAAAATAACCTCTTCATCAACTGCTTAAATCCGTCTTTGCTCGCGATCATGGTTTCACAGTTTTATTCTCAGACTTGCCTGTTTGAGTATGAGTCCCAGAATGGCAACCTGTATTAATGTCACGTCACTGTCGAGCCTGAACTGCGATAAAGTTCACTATGTGCTTAATTCATGCTAACAGCTTGTATACTGTCTTTCACGGTTTGCACAGTGTTACCACAGTTTTAAACACATTACAATTTCTGTTTCTGTTTCTTTGACACTACACCTTACCCGTACTTTTAACCCTGAGCTTGCTATTATTTGAGCAACATTACACAGAGAGCAGACAGACCATCTGCTGTAGACCCTCCCCTGGAACACACTTACAGTATTGTAGGGGGGTGCCGGCAGTCAGCAGCAGCTGACTCCACACAACAATGGCTCTGTGCTTCCAATATTAAACCCATCTGTGCAGGGTTAATTCCAGACATCTGGAATTTAGCTCCAAGGCCAAATGATGTCATGTGCAAAAAGGGTTAAGTAGCTGTTGGGGTAAACGCTCTGCCTCAAAGTGAGATAACTTAAAGACAACAATCTGCAGTGCAAACAGGACAGTTACAGGAGTGTATTGAATTGAATGCTAGCTGTATAAAATTAGGACATTACTTCTAAGACAATTCTGCTCTTGACTTGTATAGGGAAATATTTTTGCACAAATAATGCTTTACAAATAAAATATTTTATTTATTATGCTTGTGGGTGTTTAGTTGACACCCACTGCTAGGTTTAACCTGCTGTCTACACCCCTCAGTCTGCTTCCTCCCTCCCTCTTGTCGCCAAGGAAACCCTAGTCATGTCTCTGTCAGCACAGAGAGATAGCCATGCATCCATTCATGTCTCTGCCGACCCCTGTTTGCCTCCCTAACCTTTTACAATTTCACCACACCGATCCTGTTTGCTATGTGTCAATTGGAGACATTTATTTGTGTGTGTGTGTGTGTGTGTGTCTCTGTGTGTGTCTCTGTGTGTGTGTGTATGTGTGTGTGTGTGTGTGTGTGTGTGTGTGTGTGTGTATGCACAGCCCTGTCACAAATCTTACCTTGCAATCAGCACTGAAAGAAAAGGGGGAGAAAGACTCTGGTCTAAATTCGATGATGCTGCCGGTCAAGAATAGCAAGACAGCAGACCCGTGCAGTCTCGGATCCCTTTAAATAGACACGCTCATCCTCCGCAAGCTGGCAAACACACACAGACACACACAATGGACAGAGTGAGGAAATACCATAGTCAGTTGGTGCCCAGATGTACAAGACAGGAAGGTTTTATTGTTTCAGATCAAGGGCAGTATCTCTCCTGCATCCCTCAGGTATTGCTGCCATTCTCTTCCTTTCTATTCTTGTCTCTCATTTTCTGCAACACATGCTTTCACACACATTTGCACTGTTGCAAATCTGACCCTCTCTAGACAAAGAAAGGGAATAAAATGAGATGTAGGAAAGAGGGGAGAAGAAGGATGGGCCAGTAACCTTTGACAGGCTGGCAAGCTTTCTTTTCTCCTGTCTTTCCTCTTCATGGCCCTGCCCCATTGCCTTTGCTATCTTCCCTACTTGTTTCAACAAGGCTCCTTTTCTTTCTTGATACCCAATATACCAGCCTCTTCCTTTCTCTTTCAGGCTATGTGCATGGCTCTGCCTATGCCTCACCCTCCCTTTTCTCTGCACGCTGTGTCCTTGTATCCCTGGCAACCGATGATATCATTTAGTCCAGAGCTGGGAGCAAGGCCTCAAGCAAGGAGGGGAGTGTTTGCGTGTGTGTGTGATTTTAACATGGAGGGAGAGGGGTGGTGGGGTGTAGAGAGTCTATAGGATTTGATTTATACTTCCACATTTGTGTCTTCTTTTCTCTGTTCACCCTTCCTAGATGCCTGCCACCTTTGTACAGCTTTTCTGCCAGCTGAATAAAAACTATTAATTGTGGAATGAAGAGCTGCTGCAGTTTTGCAAACACACTCCAATTTGTGTCCTCGTTTGAACAATAATAGCATGCATACCTCACACTATCTGGAGCTACTTGCTAGCTGCAGAGAACCACTGCAGCTGTGCATCTCTTGCTGAGACTTTTATGTGTGCATGTGTGTGTAAGTAGTAAGGATACTGATCCTATACCATAAAAGGAAGGATGGGCTGCACCAGACCAGGCCTGTCTCTGGTGGCTCCTAGGCTAGCTAACATGAGGAGCAGAGACATGAAGAGAACAGATGGAGGGGAAGCGTCAAGCGACAATGTACAGACAGATAAGCCACCCTGCCTGAATGCAGGAACACGTATGATTTTACTGGATTCAGGCCTGAAATAGCGTCAAATCACAGAGAAAGAACGTGCAGTATGAGCCGAATATCAATCACATTTCTAAAAATAACATCCCTGCAGCCCCGCTTCTCTCTGCCCTATCCCCTTCTCCCTTTCTATAATAGCAGCTTCTCCCGGTGTATGCTCCATAAAGCACAGCTCTCTGAGGGGTACTGGAATGTACCAAGGCAAGGTCAAGAACAAGAAAAGAGGGGTGTCTTTTGGAAACAATGCAAAATGTACAGCTATTTGTGAACAAAGACAATGTAGCCGGTTAACAGGTTCAAAGAAGGCACTGGAAGCACGTGTGTAAGTGTCTTGTGTGTGTGTGTGTGTGTGTGTGTGTGTGTGTGTATGTGGGTATGTGTGTCAGACAGCTGGCTTGTGTGAGGAATGGTAATCTAGAAGTGCACATCCAGGTGGTTACCTAAGCTGGCAATCACATCAACTGAAAGCATACAGTACAGTGCATGCTGTACGTTAGCGACGGTCACCATAGATACCCTTTGTTTATTCTATTTTAACTCAAAACTGTCTGAGTCAAATATTTGAGTTTTATTAAGACACAACAAAGCCAAAAGGTTTTGGTAGGTCGATGTGTTCAACGCACTGAGCTGAACTTTCAGTGGAGCTATGAGCTGTATGTGACACAGTTAGGGCATTACTTTAAATAGAGACTAATCATCACACTTGGTTACACTGTAGCTTCCTAATACTGTACACCTCCCACACACACACACACACACACACCCACACACACACACACACACACACACACACACACACACACACAGAGAGACAGACAGGCTGATATTCAACAGTTAAACGTTCCACAGAGCACAAATGTAACCACAACACAAGTGTAGCTGCAACAGTTCCCCCTTCTCTGCATTCATCATTTCACATTTCTGCTCCTGCACTATGTCTCTGCATGTGACCACTGCATGTGAGCATGTTTGTGTGTGTGAGTGTATGAGTGGGGGTTTCATGCATGAACGTGCAGCACAGTCTGCAGACACACACACACACACACACACACACACACACACACACACACTGCAGTATGTTCAGCCAAGACAGATTGCTCAGAACAATGACACAAATAGAAAAATAAACACATGTAGACAAACACAGAGCAGAGGAGGAACAGAGATACATGTTCACACTTCTTCTCCCACACTGCACAATGCATGCAGCACATTTACATTCAGCCATAAGCACATAGCACATCAAGCTGCTCCTCTGTAGTCCTCTTTTACCTCTTTTTTTTGTCTTTGTTCTCTTTGTTCCACACTCCCCTCTGCTCCCCTTTTCCTCTCTTTCACTCTTCGCCACCTTGTCTCACCCGATCCTCTCTCCTCTCTGTCTCCTTTCTTCCCCTCTCCCCCTCTTCCTGTTTCCACTCCACTCTCGGATGCTGGGGCTCTCACAGCCGACCGATCCATGTACAGACACTGGCAGGGCGGGCCCAACGAGCTGCCAATCACAAAAGGGGAGCCAATGAGAGGGGGAGAATCTCTTATCTATCACAGTTTGCAGTGAACCAGAGTAGGCAGGAGGAGGGGAAAAGCAGCAGACAGAAGCATGGAGGGGCTCTTTATTTCCCTCTTCCTCTGGGTGTGTGTGTGTGTGTGTGTGTGTGTGTGTGTGTGTGTGTGTGTGTGTGTGTGTGTGTGTGTTTGTGTGTGTGTACAATATGTGTGTGTATGAGAGAGAGTAAGTGAGAGTTGGAACATGGCCAGTACAGTAGAGGAGATATTTTAAATCCCTCCACAGCTGTAAAAGAATCTTCTCGAGCTGATAGAGACATGTTTCCCTGACCAATATCGCTGCGAGTTGGAATTGTTTTACTTTGAATGCCACATTCTTCAGCTTTGTACACTTATCTGTGCAGAAAGATATGCACACACCAAACATTTTTCAAAATAGGATATTAAATGACTTAATTAAACGGGGAAAAGGTCACAGAATGACAATACACGTCAGAGTATCAGTATGAACAATGCACAAGTTTTCTCGATTTTTGTAGCTCTCGGTGGAGCTTTCTGGGTGAACTGGGAAGCAAGGCAGAGTGAAATGGTGACAGAAGGGCTGCCTGCTAGTGTTGGCTGAGCTCAAATGTCAAGTGACAGGATAACCAGGGGGAGGTGGGGCTACAGCTCTAGGTTCATGAGGGAGGGTCTACTCTTTGAGGCTCACAATGCAAAACCACCACTCACTCCTCTGCTCATTTCACCCACCAGCGGCCAATAAAAAGGAGGCAGAGCTGTCGGCCCTGAGTGCACAGCGAGAGGTACAGACAGAGCTGATGAGGAGGCAGTAGACGAGTGTAAGAGTGAAATGGTGGAAGCAGACTGCTGACAGATTTTCTTTTTTTTTTTTTTTTTTTACCTCTGAAGTGCCATAGCAACAGCCCCTGATCAGCCCAAACGCTATTGGCCAATGCTCAGCCCATGCGGATATTTGGACCAATCAGCAGGCTTTGGTGCAGAACTAAGTGGGGACAGCTTCATAGCTCCAGCATATCTGCTAAATTGAGCCCCCTGGTGGCTCAGTGAAGGCCTAGAAACTGTCTCCTGTAGTTCACAAGTAAAGGGGGCATCTGTTCTGTCGCGACAGTTTCAATCAAAAAGCAAAAAGCTGTCGTGTGTGTGTGGTGTGATGATACAGCAAATGTTTTACAATGGCGCCTTTGAACTTAGAAAGTAATTATAGATATCACACTAATGTGGATTTTATTTAATCAGAAGTTATATGATCAAACACTAGTTTAATGTCACAACAAAAAAAATAACAAATGTATTACCCATTTGTGTAACTAACAACTAATATTCTGATGTTCTTACAAAATCATATCATGGTAATCTGAGTGAAAGAGGAAAAAGTTAAGAAAAAGTATAAACAGACCTGACACAAATTTATGAAATTATTTATGTATAGTACAGAGAAACACCAATCACCATCATATTAATTTACATATCAGAGAAAAAGTGGTATAACACAATACTGAATGACCCCCACCGTACAGCCTAACTGTATAATTAAAATTAAATAACATTAAATTCAAAACAAACTGAATGAATGCTTTACCACACATCAGTGTGTTTTTAACATTCAAAATGTGTTTGCTACGCTTTTCAATTGCAATTAGACTTCAAAACACGTTTGATTTATGTTTTTTATGCACTTATCATTAGCAGCATATTGGGAGCAAGAAACAAAAAAGCCTACACTGACCCCAAGTGGGAAATATATATTACTGCATGATGACATACTGGGTTGTATGAACGTGCAGGACGTGAGGTTTTTATGTACAGTAGAGTGGTGCTAAAAATACAGCAGAGTAGGTCAAAATAAATAAATAACGTATGTATTACGTTAAACTGGCATACTGCATTTATTATATATTTTAAATCACTACATACTGTGTTGCTCCCAGGACCAGAACTAATAATTCATTTCTTGAATTTGCTTGAATTTGTCATTAAATCTCTCAACAGCCTGGCACAGTCATATTGTTAAAAATGCTTATTCCAGGTCAGCCAGACATGTCTATGAACTGACACAACTATAATGTTTCCAAGCCAGTCAGAGAAACACAAAGCTGTAGAGGGTTTTATGAGAATTATGTTTGTGAAGGATGTTGTATGAGAATCACAGACATCTTTAATCAACCCTAAGAACAAACAAGTAAACGGACAGAAGATCAGCTACCCCCCAAAAAAAGCTATCCAAGTCGATTGGACCAATCCTTTGACTGTGACATTCCACTCAGCAGCAGTGAAATGCTCTCACTCTCCTACAGAGGATGAAGCAGCAGAGGGCAGCTGAGCTGGGTCGGCACTTGGTCTGAATTTATAATTTTAATTGGTAAAAATGCTGACAGCTGAAAAATGTCTGTTCACATAACTGCATCATCAGCCCCAGCTACATAAGTTATGATTGTCATAACTCAAGATTAGATCAGAGAGGCAAGCTGGTCCCTCGATGAATAACAACACTCAGTCACTCTAACTGACTTATTAGGGCAGTGAAGGATTGTTGCTCCAGCTAATCTGACAAACAGTCTGCATTTGCATAAGACAGACTTGAGCAGGGGGCAGGACAGCACCAGAACCTCCAGCCATTGATATGCAGCACATTTGTATTTCCTTTATATTTCTGACATTGAGATCAGTGGCTTCCAATCTTTTCTGTCAGACGTATCCCCACAGCCCTGTCAGAGGAGCTCGATTACCCGTTCACTGACACCAGCACTCATTTGAATTGGTTCTTAACTGGATGTTAATATAATTAGTTATATAAAAGTGGCATTGTGATGATAATTTGATGGCACAATGATGTTTATTGATTGCTTTTAGCGAGCTATTTCGACTGTTTATCCATCAGTTTCAACTGCACCTCTCTCTTGCTAGCTAGTATCCCTGCTCTCCGGGGTGTTCGAGTACAGCTCTGTGGATACATTTCTTTATCAAATCATAGTTTCTTTAGTCTCCTTTTTGCTCATTATTACTTGAGCTACTTCATAATCTTTCCACGTACCCCGTAGCAAGTGCAGAGGTGCCCCCTAGGGTAAGAATAACCCTGGTCGAGAATCACAGATTTAGATGATAATACGGTGGCCCTGAGAGCTCAGCGCACTGCAACTTAAGAAGACCCTCGCAAACAGACAAAACACAAGCCAATTAAGAAAACATCTTCATCAATTTGACAACACATGAGCAACATTTAGAAAAAAAAGTGAGAAAGCACAACCAAATGAAGCTCTAGCCAAAGTTCAGTCAGGAAGACTAGTTTTTGGCATTGCATTCACTCCTCTCTCGTGCTCGCAGAGTTTCCTTGCTGTCATTATCAGGGGCTCACATTTATCCAATAGCACAGCGTCACGCCTGCATGGTTTTCTTTTGAAATATGTTCATTTATGCTGCTGTTATGCATGTTCCTTCACCTCCCCCATCACCCAGTATTTGCAGATTAATCAGCTTCAATAATTTCATCAGCCTTAGCAGAGTCATCAGCCACCACCACCACCACCACCCGTGTCTGGGGATTTATCTTGATGCTGCTCAGGGCAGACGCCCCTCGATCACAAACATGTCCCTGTTCTCTTCCCCTCCTACACCCCTTAAAATCAAAAAGGCCTCGCGACCCCCCTCATGAAGCTTTGGTGAGCCCTAGTGGGGGTCCCAACCCCCAGGTTGGGAACCACTGCTGTAGAGTCTTAGTGCCAAAAACTTTGTGTCAAGATTTAAACATCACATATAATATATTATAATAAACAATTATCTTTACTTCATTCACTTGTCTTTCCTGATTAAAATATGTGTCCCAGCCACGTTCATCGCTTTCTAGTGTCCTCTGGAAACAGTTTCAATTGCCATCTGTGCTATTTGAAGCGTTTCTGTATTTGGTCACGTTTTCTGTATTTGCAATGCAGTTTTTTGTGTTTTCTCTCCTTTTTTCAAAATGCTGCACATGTGCTGTCAAACTGGCGAGTATGACTTCCAAATTTGCTTGTGTGTTTTGTCTATTTGCGTGGTGCTGTGTGTTTAAAGAGATCTAGGACACTGACAGGACGTGTAGTTGGTGAGTGGATCAACCAGTAACCTTTCTGCTGTAGGACAGTCAGTGCAACTACCAAGCCACATGGTAAGTTGTTGTCAAATGATACTTGCAAAATAAAGAAAGCAAAACACAAGTGCCCTTTGCAGTAATGGAGAGAGAGAACTGTGCAGCCACAGCCATCAAATGGTAAATGTGTTTAATAAAAAGATGAAGAATTTGCATAATGTGTCCAAGCTGTTATGAAGGACTAAGGACTAAAAAACTTTGGAGACAGGAAGAGACTTTGAGATGGATTAATTGCTCTGTACACAGTGAGCAGCCAAAATAGGTCAAGCACCCATTTTGGCAGAACATTGAACCATTTGCTGTGCAATACTCAATCTACTTCATGGAAAATTAAGTTTCTTCAGTTTCTATAAAGTACTGGGTTATTTTCTTATTTTGCTTCTTCAGACTCATATTTATATATAATTCTTCTCTTGTTCAATAAAACACCAACTTTATTTCAATGAGATCTCCTCCCCCTCCTGCTCTAAATACAAATACAAAAGCTTATAAAACATTTATTAACTCTGATCTCTGGTAATTATTCCATTATATTCCAAGTGTAACTATTGTCTTTAATTATTAAATGGCAAACACGTGTGGGCCTTTATGCACAGATCATGAGGAGTGTGTGTACACTGTCATTATGTTGTAGTTAAACTTTCATGCTTTATCTCTCTTCTGCCCACTGGTTTATCCACCACTCACGTTGCATAGTACCTCTGAACTACACTGGTCACTTTAGGCCTTTTGTTCATTACTGAGACAGATTAGACAGTTTTGCATTTACCATTACATTGATAACACGTCTCCGAGTATCCTATTTCAATGGCCTGTGTTTCATCACCATACTCCAGGTGAACCAGAATTCAGGCTTCTGTGAGAGTCATGCTTACATGCTTACGTCACTGGAAAAAAAAAGGATCTTGCAAGGTCAAAATGTTTTTGCAAGGGCAAGTTATTGCAGCAGGTTTTTTGTGTTTTACATTTTGTTCCAAATGGGGGCTGCACAAGTGGTTGGCTGTCGTTCTCAGTAGGTGTGTTGGTTATGAATTCCTTGTGGTACTAAGGTGAATATGTAGAATAATGACGTGGTAAGAATTTCCCTGCAAACATAGAGGAGTCAATGATTACTATTTTGTTTAAATAGCCTTAAGCCTATAAGTTCATTGCAGTACCTTTGCTTCAAAAAGAGAAATAAAGCCTATAAATATAAAGATTTAGGACAAAATTCAAGAAAACAAACAGCTTTTTATTCAATATCATTTTAGAATTGTAGGTGGGAGAAATGCAATGACCTGCACATCCACGCCCACATGTGTCAGAAGGCCTGTCTCCTCCTGCTTTGCATATCTCCTTTGTGACATTTAAATCATAACTGCAAACATCTTCTGTCATTGTTTTTGCAGCAGCCACAGTAGGAGACACAGAGGAGACCTCTCTGACCATGAACATGTTAACGCCATTAGTTTTAGCCATTTTGATCATATGTCTTTCGTCCCTCACGTCAGCAACGGTGGTCCAAGATTTTAATCATGTAGAGAGATGCAAGGACTCCCTGTATATGGGGACACCACCGCGGGGGATCATCGACACCAAACTGAAGAAGATCTGCCAACGATACGCAGACAAACCTCGTTATGTAACCCTGTACGACCCCCAGAAGCGGATTCCGGTCTACTCAGCTTACACCTTCAAGAAAACAGAGGGAGACAGACGTGTGGACTACCCTTGGATGTATGAGCCACAGGTGAGGGACTTGTCTTTGAGTCATAGTTTAGGTTTGCTTATCCACAAAATATAGAGAAAACTTCATTCATAAAGGGTTTTTCATTCATCCATTTTTATTGTTAACCAGGTAGCTCACACTGAAGTATAAAACCTCTTTCAAAGAGGGCTTGGCAGCAGCTGGAATAGACAGTAGGTCTAGACCAGGAGCCAGGGGGACACTGGCTTTGTATAATTCCCATATTATTGAAAACCCTGCTGGAAGTGCTCTTTATGTCTCCACAGCTGGCAGAAGTTGATGGCAATGGAAACATGCTGCCCTTCCCCACTGGTTACCTGCACATGAAGTTTGAGGACAGCCAGGCAGTCCTCGATGACTACTCTGATGTGGTCCTGTACGAGAGAGGTCACCTGAACCCAGACCAGCACCAGTCCACCCCGCACGACCGTGCAGCCACTTACACTCTGACCAACGTGGTCCCGGAGATACGGGAGTTCAACATCGGACCCTGGCGCGAGTACGAGGAGCGCATCCGGGTGCGCCTCAACAACTTCTGCCGTGGCACGGCCTTCATCGTCACCGGGGTGACCACCAGAGGCAACACGATCCGTCGGAACAACCAGGACCGTGTGGCCATCCCGGAAGATGTGTGGTCCGCTTACTGCTGCACCGACTACGACCGCAACGCGCCGCATGATGTCCGCATCCGCTTCCCGTCCCACGCCGCCATGGCCAAAAACGCCAAAGAGGGCAACAGCGTCCATGAGATGCCGGTTCAGGAGCTTGAGATCCTTCTGAAAAACAACATGGACGTCGACCAGAACCTTCAGATCTTCTATGACAACTGCATCTCTCCCTCACCTCTTCCTCTTTACCTCCAGCACACTATCTGAAAGCTCTCCTGGGCTTACTCTCAAGATAATGGGTGGCTTATGGTAGATATGTGTGCTTTCCCCTCCTCAAGAGTCATTTAAAAATTTAGATATTGTCATTTAAAACTTTCCTTGCAGCTCTTAAAACTTAAAGAACTAGTTCTTCAATAGGTTTTATTTATTAATGCTTTCTATCTGCCCTCTTGCAGAAAATGACCACATGACAAAGGGAGCTAGTTTGTTGGGAGAGGGACTATAATAGTGATGTGTGGTGTGTTATGCAAACCCATTTAATAAACTATCAAAATTTACTGGCTAGTGTGATTACTTGTCATTTATGCACTAAACATTTTAATATGTAAAATAGTGAACTTTAAAGCTGAGGTCTCCTGTAGTCTTTTAGGTTAAACTCTTACAACCTGGATGTAAAGCTGTGATAAGCTTAGAAATAGCTCCCTTCCCTCATACTCTTGAGCATATGTGAGTTTGAATGTTTGGCACAGCTATAAAAATTGGATTTGACTTTTATGGCTGTCTGATGGGTTTTATTCGCTTTAATCATTTAGTTAATCTGCTTGTAATAAAAGTCTTTTGAATAAAATAAAAGATCCATGGGCTGTCCAATAGATTTGTTGTAGAGTTCTTTAAGTTTTTATCACAAGACCAACAGGATCTGAGAAGCCTTGCAAACTTCCCATGCAGATTTTATCATTTAAAGACAGCGAGAATAACAACTGGATATCCAATAAAACATTTAAAATGTTTAAATATTACCTTTGTGAATATAATATCTCAAAGGCATGTTTGACATAACTTATAGTGGGTTTTAGTTTCATGATGCTGAAGAGATCGTCTTTACATTTTTCAGAATGATGTTTCTATTTGCAGTTCCAGAGGAAGAAGCTTTCTGAGCTGTTAGACCCATCATCCCAAAATGACAGTGATGATAGCAAGGCTGACTTTTTTTTTTTTTTTTAAATAGAGGCTGGTTCATTTGGGTTAGAAGCAGTCATTTTCTGATGCAGCAGGTCCTGTCAATAAAGTTGGACACTGCCACCTAGTGAGTGAGGGAAAGTATGTTCTGTGCTTAAAGGGAAACCAATAGTGTCATTATCTGCAGAGGTAATTGTGTTGAGAGCAAAAGAGAAATGCAATGACATTACCGTATGCATCAGTCATCTAAACAATTGTGCAATCTATTTACAAAGTTATAACGAAGATGATTTTGATTAATACAGTGCACATCAACCATAAGAGTTATTAGACCCAGTGGGGTTTAATAACTTGCTTCTTATTGCAGCAATAACTCAGGCCAGTTATTCTAATCCAAAAGTATAAATCTGGTAATCCAAATATGAAAAACTATTAAAAACTATAGAAAAGTTTTAAAAATGGATGCATTGGCACACTTGTTCAAAGACAATGTACACTTGTGCAAGGTCAGATTTAGGACCCCCCCACCTCCTTTAGGGAATTGTATATGAATCCCAGTTTGCAACACAGCTGCAGGCAGGGTTTGCTTATTGAAATGATTTATCTTTATTGTTTTGCCTCTAGTCTACCTGTGATAATTCATAGTGGCAAAATGTAATATGGGAAAAAAGATCAATTGATTACAGCGCAAATGTGACTTTGGAGAGGTAAAAAGAGGTGCAATGTGGTCTCAAAGTGCTTCACCACTTATACTACAGAAATAAATGTATCTGTGGCAAAATAAGTATTCAGTTATTTCCACATCAGGGCTCCAATGAATGGAAAGTTGTTAGCACAAATGTTTTATCCAACAGGACCAGTGCATCAGTCTGTTCCAGTATATTTGCTGTAATATTGATTTATTGTGTACAACAGCTGAATAAACAGAGATCAGAGGCCGATTCCCATCATAAAATTGGTGCTGCCAAGTTATTTTAGGCTTTGAAATTCAAATCCTTCAGATAACTTAAAGACCTTATGGAGTGAAGGTCAGAACTCAGTTTGTGTGGCTTAGAAATTGAAATCATGGGAAGCTGAGCTTTTGGAGGCTTCATTTTATGGCGAATGCTAGCTATATAAGCAACAACGAAACTGGAAAAAAAGAGAAGAAAAAAAGAAAAATGTAAGTAATACAGGAAAACTGTGTTATCTATGGTTCCTGTTAGCTGAGTAGCCATCATCATTTTCTTCTTTCTAAAAAAAAAAACAACCATCACTTGTTTCAAGCCCCAATAATCAATATTGACATGACCACTGTAAAATTGATTGTTTGAGGAAACCAATTGCTTTAAACCATTTAAATTTACTACCTAACCAAGCTTAATTAAGTTAATTGTACCAATTTCATAAATTGAATTGAAGTTAAAACTAGTAAATAAATGACACTCTCATATGCAGCATTTCTCCAAACTTATTTAAAATGTGTTATTTATCTGAATAAAGTAAGACTACCTTTAATGTATCTTCATTATACAAATGTTACAACTTAAATTGAGTTTACTCAGTTTTCTTCCACTTAAGCAAATTATTACATTACCTCATACGTCAAAAGAGCTGATGTATGATAAAAACTATTAACAATTAATCGATTATCAAAATGGTAGCCAATTAATTTTGGCGCTATGGGGCTTACATTTGTGTAATAATATGAAGTCAACTAAAAGAAAATGAGTCAGTGGAACAAACTGGAATTATATCACCAATGCTTAAAATACAGCACAAATGTAAGCGCACTCAAAACAACTGAGTTACTTCAACAATTGATTTCACTCAGATTGTTTTGGAGGTAATGTTGTTCAGCTATGTTTGCATACTTCTTTTATCAAGATAAGTTGATAAACCAGCCAACTCTACAGAGCTCTGTAGCTGTTTGAAGGCCTTTAAAGTCTCACAAATATACTACTCTCCATTTTCAACTGTAGCGGGCAGCAATGAGCAAAACATTTTGATATCCTGACTCTACACTACCAATAGCAAATATAAAGGCTGCTAAAAGGTAAGAAACACAATAAATGTTAAAGTTAAAGTTGCTGGTCGTCTACACAAGCAATTGCCTGCTGGTTAAAGCCGTTAATGATTTGAACGAGTCGGCTCTATGAGCCAGGAGCCAGCTCCCGTCCGACCGCCAATTTTTTTGTCTTTCTTTTTTTTAAAAAATGAATACAAGACAGACTAATAGGATGATCCTAAAAAACATATAAAATACAATCCAGAAACACTTCACTTTAGTCCCAAGCACGGTGACACTTTTGCATGTTGCATCGGTCGCCAACATACAAAACATAGTTCAATATAAATAAAACGTTCAATACATATGTAATACTGTTTGATGTTTTTACATTATTTAGCATAATGTAAAATGATGGTATACTTTAAATTATGAGGTTAAATCATAAATGTACATACGTACCAATCACAGGTCAAAACATTGCTAGAATTGTCTGAATTATTACAACCCAGAGGTGGAAAATGAAACTGAATGAAAAGCTCTCTTACTGCTAAGCTGAGCCAAATGATCTAACTCACTAAAAAAAAAAACGGACTTTCCATCACTACTAACATTAAAAGTTGCTCCTGGATGTGAGGGTTTTCTGCCCCAAGTGGCTAGAAAATGTAATACAGCTTGTGTTGCTTCTCTGGCAATGTGACAAAAATGGCAAAGCATTTGTTTAAGAATGTCTTTTAATGTTTTCCAGTTCAGATACACAACATACAGTGTGTAATAGCCTCTATTTGAAATAGAAATATTAACTTTAATTCTTTCAACCCCTTCTGGTCATTATGCTCACTCACAGTATCTTGAGCTTCAAGCAGGTTACTGAATCAGACTAAATGAAACAGACAAACAGGTGCAAGCCTTCACTTTACCATTCCAGCAATAAATGTTATAATAAGATATTTGGATCCTTGTAATGCTTTTTCTTTTTTTTCCCCTTTACCTTAAGCCAACATCAAAACTGTAGTGTAAACATGTAAACTTGGTGAGTGTGCTTCCATTATCTGTTGGCTGTCCAAACCCTTGTTTCAACAAAACCCCAAAATACTGTCTTTGTAATAGTGTTTTTGGAAGCATGGGCAACTCAAACTCACATCAAACAGCTGGGTCAATAATCCCATAAACAGAATGTGCAGACAAAATTGCAAAAGGTAGCAAAACAACCACCATGATTAGAGTCTGAAATAAGACCAAAAAGAGTACAAAGGATTTCACAACCTCCCAATTACAGGTTAAACTGTATGACAATGCTCAAGACAACGTGAGACACTAACTATTTAATCCACAGGCATCACAAGTAAAGTTCCTTGATTTGTGGTTTGTTTTGAGCACATTTGAAATATCCTGCCTCTCGTTTTTTCTGCCTCATTTCTCAAATCATCCCTATTTCCCCTTCCTTCATCTGTTCTCTGCAGCTGTTCTTTGGCTTTTTAACCAATGAAAGGACTCATTTCACTGAAAAGCTGCCTCGATTGATAGGATAGTGCCAGGTGTGTACGTTATGCTTTAGACAGCCATATATGCAGTAAGAGCATTTTTATCACCACAACATTAAGGCTAACCTGAGCCCTAAGCATTCGTTTCCGTGTTTATGTTGACCTCAACCATGCTGTGGATATATATATATATATATATATATAGATATATATATAATTATTCACTTATGTTAACAGATGTACTTATGTGCCAATAACCTATTGGAATTTGCCCTTGAGACCTAGGAAATAAAAGGAGAATAAAACATACGCATGAGTGCTAAAATCATGTTAAGTCATCTAAACTTGCACCTGTTGTCACAAAGAAAAGTTCCGGCCAATCACTCAAACCAAACAACAAACATAATATTTACAAATTCCAGTTTGTTCTCTTACACTTAAAAAATGTACAGTTTGTTTCATGTGTTGGTTTTTGTTCTTTTGTCCTCGCGGCTCGCTCCAGTCCAGTGTGAGGGATGGCAGTCTGGCTCCAGAGTGTCGTTATCCTAAGCAGACAGGATACAGAACATCACAAGGCGGGGGAAGGAATCCCGCTCGCCTGGTTTTTGTGGTATATGGTGTATGAGTAATGTCTGTCATTAAAGATTTTTTTTTTCTTAAATCAGGTTTTTAGAATGCATCCTCTGTGCATTGACAGATCATAATGTAGCTGACGAGCTATCTCGCCATCGCCATTGAATCACTGTCAGCGTTTGTCCAGTGTTGTCCTAATGTCACTGGGGTTTTTTTTTTTCAGAATTGTCCAGAGTGTGACCCGTCCCTGTGTTCAGTTGTGCGAAAGATGTGAAACGCTCGTACAAGGCTTTCTCACCTTTTGACCATCATAAATATATCTTATCCTTTCTCCCGCCTTGCAGAAGGGAGAATCATGAAACAACAAAAGAGCAGACGAAAAGATAACTGTCAGGCAGTCTTCAAACACTTGAAGCATGTGGTTAATGTCAGTCACAGACAAAAACCTTATTTAGACTATTCATGTAAAGTAGTTGTTTCTTTTTTTTTTTTGTAACTCAAAAAAAGTGCTATCTTCAGGTGAGATTGAGATACAGTGACTTCAAACTTGACGGTTGCAAAAAAATAAAGAGAATCAGAGCAAAAAGAGGGAGGAAAGAAAAAGGCTTTGATCAGTCTTTCTGGTAGTTTTGCGGCACAGCCTCAGTGTTAGGAAATGAAAAAAATAAAGAGGAAATATTTACTCTCTTTGTTATAATCATAGTTTACACAATATTCATCTCTTAATACTTTAATACCTTTTTGAAGTACCACAAAGTGCAGCTGATATTAAAATAGAAAATTAAAATGATTTTCAAAATAAAAGAGAGAAAAAAAACAATGAAGAACAAGGCAAATCATTGAAATGACAAACAAACTTCTCTGTCCACACTCTTTATAAAATAAAAAACATCATGCAAATATCCCAGACAGCAAAGTAGTTAATAAAACTTTATATTCTTTTTTTCTTTTAAACGAGAATATATTGAATCTGATTTCCCTATAAAGAAGAGACCAGCCACAGTGCAACATTGAGTGTAATTAAAAAAAAAAAGTGTGTGGATCAAAAAGAAAGATGAAGGGGTTGGCACTTTTTATGATGGTAATTCCTTTTGTAAGATACAGTCAGGATGGACCTCTCCAGGCGGTCCACTGGACGCCAGTGAAAGAGGAACTTTATCACAGTACTTGGCACCAAGAATGCTGGTAAAAACGAGATATCAGAATATCTTTTTTTTCATTCATATCCTTACAATTTATTAATAATACATCATTTACATTTGTGTTTTTGTATAAAAGACTCCAAAAGGAAAAGAGAGTCTAGAAGTGATTGCGAGAGAGAGGAAAGGAGTGAAGATGGAAATGGATTATGTCAATGGTTTAATAAAAAGAGCTACGAGGGCAGATGCAGAGAGAGAAAGAGTGTGAGGCAGTGAAAAAGAGAAGCAGTTAAATGGGCTGAGATGGGGATACAGACAGAGAGATAATGAGTGAGAAACAAATAAAGTAATGGACATGATTAGAGCCTGTGCGGCGGAGATGCACTGAGCTCTAATGGGCAGCCTGGATTCCAGGTTGCATCCCACAGACTGAGTATGATTCAGTTATTTCCTGTACCGCCCAACAGTTGAAGCCCCAATCTGGAAATGTTTTGAAAGCATAATTTGTGAGTAATACAGATTTTCAAAAAGCATGACTTTGGATGGCGTATAGGTCGCATCCTAACTGAAAACAGGTACATAAATTTGTAAACAGCAGAAATTAAGTTTTAAAAATCTATGAAAAACTCATGCTTGAATGTCAAATAGTTCATTCTTGTACTTCCAGCGCTGTCAATACATTTCGCACTAAACAAAAGTCTCCAAAATCAGAACACAGAGACAGCTGTTGGGACATAGCGCTCAACACAGGGTGCCAAATTCCACTTCCAGATTGGGCCTTTAAAGCTGCAATTTGTAAGTTTCAAGAAATCACCGCTTTATGACAGACAGCTTGTTGGGGCATATGTTGCCTCATACAAAGCTGCTCGCTACTGTATTATCTTTTCGCTAAATGGATGAGAATGAATGTATGTATTCTATGTCAAACATAGTTTTACACTGACACAACAACACATACGCAAAACAATCAAGCAACACATAAGATGCCTGACTGATTGTGATTAGCTCAATACCTCTTTGAGAGAGAGCTACAAGCTTAAAGCTGCTTTTGGTGGCTCACCTAGTAAGCGAGACATATTGAAAGAGCTGTAACAGGGCAAAGCAGTATGTACCTATGACAGGATTTTGGCAAAGGAGCTTTTTTAATCAACTCCTTCTTGATTTATGATTACATTTTAGAGGTATTTCACTGCTTAAAATCTTACAAACTGCAGCTTTATTTGAGGGCTTAATGAGAAAAGACAATGATATAGTAAAGAAGAATAGAGGGGGGTGAGAGTGGATTTATATGGAGCAGTTTGTGTGGTGCGTCTCTTTAAGCCCAGAGTGGGGTTGTGCCTGGTCCTATACACGGGTGGTGGAGTGTTGGTGTGGCAGGGCATTGTTGCTGTGGCTGGGAACAGGTGTAGTGGAGGGGGCCGGGACTGGGGGATAAGTGTTGAAGGGGTGGAGGGGCTGCATGCTGCTGATGGTGCTGGGGATCATGGTGATGGTATTTGCTGTCATCAGTGGCACATCCTCCGGTGCCCGCCGCAGGGCCAGCGTGTAGTCAGGTGGGCACACGGGCGGTCGCAGGGGTTCCAGGTCACCAAGAACGCCGCGGGAAGGGAGGGGGGTGCCGTGCTCCAGCTCCACTCTTTGCTGCTTCATCTGCAGTGACATCAGCTCCTCTTCCTGACTCAGCGCCAGGTCATTGTGCGGTGGGGCCCCTACGACTCCCATGCCAACACCCATGCCCATCGTCGTGCCACGTTGCGGGGACAGTCGGCGGTGACGTCTCTGCATGAGTTCATGACGCTTATCCCGTTTGTAGTAAAGCGCGGCAAAGGCCAGCACATTCAGGAAAAGAAGCGAGGCGCCCACAGCTACTGTCACACTCAGCTCGGTGGAGTAGTCCCTAGTCTCACTCGGGAAGGGAGGGTAGCGGGGTCTCTCTGAACCATCGGGCTCAGGATCAGGCGGATAAGTGGAGATTACAGGGTGGGGTGTGGAGCGGGTGCCAGGGCTGTGAGGGCCCTTCCAGCGGTTGGTGCCTCCGGGCGGCTGGCGAGTTGTGGCGCGGTCAATGATGTCCTTGTGGAGGCTGTGGAGATGTGGCACCAGCTCCAGCCAGAAGGCCACCTTGTTGGCCCGGTAGTTGTCTCTGACCCGGGGCTTCAGGCCGATATGCAAGTACTGCTTGTCTTTGGAGCTGAACTTGGTCCAGATGACCTCCTCAAAGCGGTTGGGCTTGGTGTGGATGAAGGTGGTGTCCTGAGGAACTGGCAGGTTTGGATCCCTGGCAGAGAGAAATAATCAAAATATTATTTTATGCTAAGGATTATTTATCACTACTGAGTTATTAACTTAGCATTACCTGTGTTGCTAATACAGCGATTGAATATACCAAAAACAACAAAAGTCAATCATCACTGTGTTACATATCATCTTTTAAATACTACATACTGTACATACTGTGTATTACTTTATATTTTAATAACATAAATGCACTTAATATTAGAAAGTATGTCATTGTTAGATTTGGCATTATACTAACCCTGTCTTTGCAAAGTTGGTCCAGTATGTCATGACTACAGCACTGAGCATGACATCGTTCTTGGAGAAGTTACATGGAAACAGGTCAGTGGCTCCCACCATGGGAATCCCAAACACATAGGGGATCTCATCTCCGTGGGCTGCGTCTGCCCAGTCTGGCCTTGCCTCGGTCTGACAGTGGTGGTGGAAGGTATAGAAAAAGACGGGCGACTGGAACTCAGCGTGCAGTTTGGCAGTGGCGACAGCCGGGGCCACCCACTGATGGTCCGTGAACAAAGCCAGGAGGGTCTTCCTCCGCATGTCACTGTTGTCCCTGTCAGCCCAGTCTGTGTACATGAACTTTATGGTTTCCCTCAAGATATCTTTACCTTGGAGGAAACAAAAAGCAACGTGAGCATGCACACAGTTAAAGTGCGTGGTTATCTGCAACATCAGGTGGAAGAAGTTCTGCTACTTCAGTGTGCTGTTTCCTCATACCAAATAAATGATTAAAGAAGTTATCTGTTCATCTTTTTTTCAGTTAGACAACTGCTCACAGAGGCGAATCAATGTCACAAGCGGGCCTTGAGGGACCACTACAGCTGCAATGTGAGGGTCACATTACTGACGGAGACAGACAAAGGCGTCAGCAGTCTAGTTTTCGGTAGACTCACTAGCTAGGAGACAGTTAATCAGTAGAGAAGTGCAAAAGACAACTGTCCCTGCAAAATGGATCTACTCTACAGCAAAGGGAAGAACGCAACAAAGCTTGTTAATCAATCTGCTGTGTTTATTTATTGAACTCCATTCATTTTTGACAGTAGTAGCAGTACTTTGTAATTGTGATTCGAGTGCAAACTTATATTTAACCAAATTTTGAAAGTTTTTTCTGTATTACATTTCTATTATCACAGTGTTTTCCCTCAGGGTCTTTAATGTGTGGGTGTGTGTCTCAGCATTAGACTCCTACCAGCTCTGTTCAGAGTGTCTAGCGGAGAAGCATCAGATAAAGAAGAGCAAACCTCTCAATGCTACTGACACAGAGTGTCACGTGACGTGATTGATTTTCAAATATCAACAGCCAGCAGTACACATGCTAGCAGATTAGCTCGCTAGTTATAGTTCTGGCTTGGCCACCTCCAGTCAGTCACGTGATCCTCACCTTACAGCTGTAGTGTAAAGTACAATTACTCAAGTACTGTACATGAGTGCAAATTTGAGGTACTTGTACTTCACTTGAGTATTTCCATTTCATGCTACTTTAGTTCTACTTCACTACAATTCTAGGGGAAATATTTTACTCTTTACTCCACCACATTATTTTAACAGTTACAAATTGAGACTTTGCATGCACCGATCAGCCATAACATTCTGACCACTGACAGGTGAAGTGAATAACGCTGATTATCTGGTTATCATGGCACCTGTCAGTGGGTGGGATATAGTAGGCAGCAAATAAACATTTTGTCCTCAAGCTGATGTGTTAGAAGCAGGAAAAATGGGAAGTGTGAGGATTTGATCGACTTTGACAAGGGCCAAATTGTGATGGCTAGACGACTGGATCAGAGCAGCTCCAGAACTGCAGCTCTTGTGGGGTGTTCCTGGTCTGCAGTGGTCAGTACCTATCAAAAGTGCTCCAAGGAAGGGAAAGCAGTGAATCAGAGACAGGGTCATGGGCGGCTCATTGATGCAATTGCTGAAACAGTTAATGCTGGTTCTGATAGAAAGGTGTCAGAACACACAGTGCATCACAGTTTGTGATGTATGGGGCTAGAGAACATTATGACCACCTAGGCACCCTGTTATGGCTGATTGGTGTATAGAACACATGTAAACCTAATGTAAGCCCATGCAGGCGGGGCATAGTTGTATGTATGACGCAATAATATAAACCTCATTAAAGGTCCAGTGTGTAACATTTAGGAGGATCTACTGTCAGAATTGAAATATAATATCCAAAAGTATGTTTTCTTTAGTGTATAATCATCTGAATAAATGGACTGTTATGTTTTTATTGGAATGAGCTATTATTATTTATCTACAGACAGATGGAGTCCATTCAGACTTATAGCTGTAACTGAGTTTTTTTACGTGGTAGTAGTACTTTTAAAGTGAAGGAGTGCTTCTGACTTCACCATCTTTGTTGTAGTTTGACCATTATTTAAAGTACCGCTCAGTGCCGTAGAGACCAACAACCTTTGGAAAGTTAAAGATTTGAACTTTAAACTAATGAACAATTTCAAGGTAAAAAAGGGACAGAATCTGACCATCAGGGTATCCATACAGATTGTCCACAAAGTTGGAGATGGTGTAGTCGAACGAGGCTGCTGATATTCCGTCTTCTCCTTCACTGTCATCCACAAATTTAAGGCCTTCTCCCTGGTTGACACCCAGCAATATGTCGTAGTTCAGGAACTCGCCCTGGTGTCACGACAAACACACAAACACAAATCATGATGGCACAGAGCGCGGCAGCAATGCTTGGCAGCCTCCACACACCAAATGTAAGCAAATGATCAAACAGAAACAGTGCAATCATGAATCAGCTCTGACCTGCTGCATCAGGATCTCGGGGTCATCGGGCACCACGTCCCCGTCTACCACAGGTCCGAAGGCGATGTGGTAGCGTGCGGGCTGGATGTCTTGGTCCACCAGCTCCCGGAAACTCTTCCTCCTCAGGCAGTCCACCACCTCTGCCATGTCCCCCAGAGTGCAGCCAACTTTCCTCGCCAGGATCTTGGTGTACATCACAGGTCGGTAGTTGACTGCCCAGCTGGAGATGGCTGAGCCACTCTGAGCGATGGCTCTCTGGAACAGGCCTACACAGAGCAGGACCATATACGGCAGATATAACTTCAATAGGTGTTTTCTATTGTATTCTACAATCACTTATTCTCTCACAGTTCAGCACTGGTTTTTTTTTCCTTCTGACACACTTTTGTTAGCAGCTGATGGGGCCTTCAAAACCTTACAGTGTGAGTGCTTTAAATAATGCATATGTTGGAGGAGGAGCAGTTGTAGAGTATAACATATGAAGCAAGATGGAGTAGATAGTCTGCTGCTTTTCGTAGCTGGAGAAAATCTTAATGACCATTAGTAGCAAAATGAAGTGCTTCCATTACATACAACGAGAGACAGCAGCAAGAAAAATGATGACAACTCTGTGCACAGCAGTGGGCTTGATGGCCGTGTTGGATAAAGCGAGAAAGACAGAAAGAGAGAAAGAAAACTGCTCGCACTGTTGCACCGCTGCACTGTTATGTAAAGTGGCTTGCTGTCCCTCTGTTTTATCTGCAGATTCTGTCATTAATAATTAAGCCCCCCCATATTCTGCATGTGCCCCACCCCCGCTCCTCTCCCTGTGAAATCAATTAAGAAGCCTCTCAGCTGCAGCTCCAGCTTTACTCCTCATCTCATCTCCCCTCTGCCACACACACACACACACACACACACACACACACACACACACACACACACACACACACACAGTACCTTAAAAATGGTTCACCCTCCAACTTTCTCTGCACATTGTGGTGTCACAGCCTTATTCAAAATGGAGTAGAAGAGGGTTCTTTCCACAAACACATGCATAGCAACCATTAATGTTAATGTGGATATTGAACTTGACTGTTAACATGAGTCAAAATTTACCATAATCTTGACCAAAATAATCCAACATTAGCAAAAAAAAGAGCCAAACCTACCCAAATGAATGTGTCATATAAAATATGTTTTAAACAGAAAACCATACAAGTCTGTGAGACTGAAGGCTAAACCAGGAAACCCAGAGTATAATTTGAACACTAGTCTTTTCGTATGAGTATTTGTCTTTGGACAGGATGCAATTCAGCCAACACTAGCTAGCAACCTGACAACAACTAACAACTTGGCCACTACTACCCAATTATTGAAATGCTTTTCCATGTCCTCCTGAATATTTTCCAACCCTTGATAGACAAAAAGATGTGTGTTTTTCCCTGCTCAGAATTCAGAGGATCTCCTTCATACAGTACAGATAAAATTATTTTATCTCTCCAATCTCAGTTTGTCAGCATGAAGGTTAACAGTTCAGTACTAAGATAATCTGAATTCTTGGTATAAAGTGCCATTCACCTTCTGAGCTGTACCAACCAAGATCAAAAGATTAGTGATCAAACATCTGGTGGGTATTTTAGAGATCTGCCATTCAAAAAAAAAAAAAAAAAAAAAAAAAAAGAAGGAAAGTAGAGTACAGTCCTTAATAAATACTGCAGCAGTTCCAGAGGTGGTGACTTGAGGACAGGACATGGATGCCGCAAGATTAATTTACATTTTCACGTTAACTTTTACATAAATTTTACATGAACTGCATTTTTATATTATGCTTTTAAACGTATCCAAATAGGAATAAACATCTAAATTGTTACGTTCAGTGTTTATTTAAAGTTCAATATTCATGTGTACAGCAGCGTAGCCTAAAACTGCTGACTTCTGTTGGGAGTCTTGTACAACTGATTTCCTGTTATTTAATCAGGAACCATGGGGGTGGGGGTGCCATGGGAAAAAAATACTATTGAGGGATGCCATGGCTTAAAACAGTTTGGGAACGAGTGGACTGTATGCTCCTTGCTTTTGTATTTCTGTAGGAAAATAGACAAAGTGTTTCCAACAAACCCCTTAAATCAAAATTTTGCACCAGTGGCACTTGCTTGCAACATTAGGGAAACATCATGTGAACTGAAGACTTTGTAATTTAGCTCTTAGACAATTGGAAGATTACTTACCAAAATAGGCACTTTAAACTGCCCATCTATGAAAGGGAGACCAAAGTCTGTTTGGTTCAGTCCTCAGTAAGACACATCATTAATGTGCCTGCTCAGTATCATTAAATGCACTAATGAAACTCAATAATATGATATGTAAATATGCAATAATAAATATGGGAAGTGTTCATGATGTTCTTCATTTGAAGCTCCGTGTATACATATTGTATCTATTCCTAATGCCTTGTCCAAACAGGATTATTTTTATCAGAGAAGGACAATTTTGTCAGTGCAGTTCAGTGATCTTAGTCCCTCGTGGAATGACGTTATTTGGGATTATTACAGGGCTCATGTCCCAAGGTGAGATGGTTTTATGGCAAATAACCTACTGTTTTCATCCATCTGTCGACTCTAGCACTGCCCAGATTGACAATCTGCTTTTCTTTAAAATTACTGAATCTTTGCAGTTTTTTGTATTTATTAAAAAAAATATACTGAATTGTTCCAAATAGTGCATGAATCATTCCTGAATATTGCAATAACACTGCCATACATTTTATCTGGTTAAAGCTGTTCATTGAAATTACTAACATTCTCTTTTAAGAAACACACAACCCACACTGTCCTCAAATGTTAATCCCCTTTGAGCTGGGTATATGACTACAAATGTGACAACGACAGTGAAAGAACTTTACCCTCAGAGTGGTGGGAGAGGATGAGAAGGTTCACACAGGCGGCACCAGCTCCCGAGCCAAAGATGGTGATTCTCTCTGGGTCTCCTCCAAAGTGGCCAATGTTTTCATTGAGCCAGCGCAGGGCCTGGATCTGGTCCAACAAGCCATAGTTCCCCTTAGCAGACTGGTCCCCTGTGCTCAGAAACCCTGCAGGGTAAATTAGAACAAACACAGAGAGGAAAAGAGAAAGAAAAGTACAGATTATGTGCGGAAAGAGGAGCAGGGCAGAAAGTCAGGGGCACAGTATAACATAAGCGTTTATTTCCTTTTTTAAAGGAACAAATATCCCCCATAAACAGAAGATGGCATCCTGTCATTGTCAGGAACCTCTCAGCCTCCAACTCATTGCAAGTCTGAGGAGATTTCACACATAAAGCTTGCCAAATTACTCATTTTTAATACCCACGCTGGAAATACAACACAGTTAAGAGAACTTGTCAGCAGAGAGAGGAGGAGAGCAACAGAAGGCATGTTTCACCTACTTCCAGGACACACATTTACACAGTAGGTGCACTCCCACAACAAGATAAAATAAACTGAACAAAATGTCACACAAACACACACACACACACACACACACACAAACACACACAGAATCCTTTGTTCTTATGATAGTGGATTAGTACATTACACAAGTTTCAAGCAGCACCAGGCTATATCAACCTGCAAGAAGTTTAAGCTTTTCAAATTTTTGACAGTTTGGATGTCTTCAATACCCAGAAAACATCTAAAATGATTTTAGTAAACTGCCCACTCCTTAGATTAGTGGCTGCAGGTGTGGAGGACGTGATCATCATCAAGGTGGCCTATTCATTGCTTAATTCAGTCATATTAACGGTGCTCCTTAGTAGTACGTTTTTTTGTGTCACTTCCTTGCATGAACAGAATGTCCCAGCAGTGTCTGTGCCCATACCTTTTAAAACTATAATCATGAAGATTTTCATCATATTAAACCTAATTTCTCATACTTCTTATGGCTGGCATATTCTTCTATAGTATTAAATGTGTTTCACCTTTTTACTTAACTCTTTAGTAGTCTGCATTGTGAGTGGCGGAGTCTGCCATTCCAGCATTGGATTTGAATGCTGATCAAATGGTCATCCCAGGCATTTAGAAGAGGAAACATATATAAGTATACCTAGAGTTTGCTTGTCTTCTTCTGTTGTATTTCTGATAGTGTAGCAGCTCATAGTGAGTTTCGATAAACATGCAATTTTTAATGGAATTCTGGACATTCTCAGTGTTAACCAATAACTACTGGTCTGGCTAAACCAGTCAGAACTGAAATTGATATTGCAAACTTGTTAGCAAACAGTTGCATATTTACACATCCAGCAACATTATCATTCATTTGGTGTCGGGTTTCTGAACACTTGAATGAAAGTTTTAGCTTTTAGCTTTGTTTTTGGTCTCCACCATCTTGACTCTGATGAGAGCGATAAGACTGAACCATAAGAAGTTGTGGGCCCAAAAACCAAAACAATTAGTGCTAAGATGCTATAAATACAGCACAGATTTAAAAGCTAGCACGCAATGCTTAGGCCTTTAGAAGCCAATAACCCCATCCACTGACTTTTCTGACATTTAGCTGCTTTATACAGTGACAATCTTTATACAGTGCAACCATGCAATGTGTCACCTAAATCAGCATATTGGTTTATTAATACATGCTTCCTTTTGTAGGGATATGTACAGTATAACCTAGTATACACAAGGTCCCAGAGTCATTGTCAGTGTGTCCGCATTAACTGTGTTAGTTATGATGTGTCTCTCACACATTTGGTAAATATTGTAAATTGATTCTAGTTCAGTAAGTTTCCTTGTGTGGGAATTGAAAAAGACATATACTTTCAGTGACTGAATTAAGCAGCTGATTCTAAAGGGCACGTTTAGAGAATGGGACAGCCATAAAGTACAGTATAGGGAGTGAACAGAGACAGATGGTAAAAGAGGACAGTCAGCACGTTCTCAAGTGTGTTGAACAGCAAATTAAGTTTTATTGTTGATGATAATAATGTAAGTGATGATGATAACAGCAGTGATGATGATGATGATGATAACCTGCCAAATTGACCTCTCTACAACAATTAGTGTGACACACACATGTCTCATTAGATACTGTTCACTGTACTTACACTACAGTTAACAGCACTTTGGGCCTGGAGTGTTTTTGATGGCTTCACCTGACTTAATTATGATTCATATTACAGAGTGTCATCCATATTCTTTGCAACTGTTTATCCAATGTGGTTATTTGCTGTGGTTTTGGACAATGCTTATAAAAAAGTCAATCAGAAATATGAGAATGAAATGCAGTGGTTGCTCTTATTTTGGTATTTATTTTCATTTTGTATAGGTTTTTAGAGTAAAGTGCCTTATTAAGATCATTTTGGATAGGTTCAACCCTGGTCAACAGCTTTGCCTAAGTAGATTTTGTAAAATATTTTAGCCCATAATAATTTCTCAAACTTAATGAACAAGAATATTACATGCAAAACACATTCAGGATTTAAAAAAAGACACTTGCTGGCTGCAAAAATAAAGTAGTAGAAGAAGAAGGAAAATTACATTGAAATTACATTATTGCTTTGTGATTTGGTACTGAACCAGCATCTTGCAGCATGGACAGTATTTATGCTGGGTATGTTTGCATGAACAACAATAATTAAATCTTAAGTAGATTAAGATAAACCTCTACCAGAATATCAATGAGTCTGTGCCTTTATCTGGATTTTTTTTGTTGGGATGAAAGCCTTGTACAAAAAAGTTTTTCATGTTGGCCCACAGACGCAGTGACCTGGATGTTGCACTTAAAAAGCACAAACAAAGATGCTAAAGGCAGCTATGTTTTTTTTATATTCTTTAATATTATCTTAGAATCGAAACTAAATTATCTTTTTATCTTGAAAGAACAAATTAATGCTTAAGTTAGTCTGATAGTTGCACAACATGCAAACACAAACAGTGATCCAGTCTTGAGAAAACAATAATCTTTCCTTATGATAATGAAATAATGATCACGAGAAACCACTGCTTGATTAAATAGTGATCTAGAGAGATAATAGGATTACTGAATTTATTAGAAACCACAGCTGCTCTCAACTTCCATAGTGCAGCCTTCAGTGTAAGATGGATTATTAAAAACATAGAAATCATATCAATGTTGCAGCAGAAATATTACCTGAAAGGATTACTTCCAGTAACCAAGATATAGTTTGCATGTTACTGTGTAATTGCATTATCCTTAGATCATCCCAGCAATTGACCGGCTCTTAGCCTGATGTGACTGGTAACGTATCAGCACTGACCTGCACCGCTTATCAAAACCATAGGCATGTGGAAGTGTCTGCTCCGTGGCTGCCCGGCCGAATGCTGAGCTGCCTTCCACAGTTGCCTGGCAACTGTCCAGAGCTTCAGGCAAAATGATATGGACAGACACTCACAAAAGCACTTGCATACACACATTTGAGGACTTCCATATTCAAGTACACAAACAGCTGCATGCATGCGCACATGAGCACAAAAAGTGTATCTAGCATGTTAGCCTGAGCTAGCGCCTCCTGTCGCTCTCTTTGCAAGGGCAACATGAAGAGAAGAAATTTGGTTTATCTTCCACCATTAAAGATAAGTCAAACAAGTTCCCTCTTCTCCTTTCTTTCTCTTTCAGTAAGTTTTCTTTCTGATCCCCCCCCATCTGCTGAGTTGGGCTTCCTACTGACTTTAGTGCTGAGAGCAGCAGTTTATGAGGCTGAAGTCATGCATATTCAACACTTGCTTTAGGTAACGGCCAAGGAACTGTGAGGAAGAGTCATGAACCTCTAAGTAAAGATACAGGCTGAAGACAGTAAAATGAGTGGATGACGGAAAACAGAGGAGTAGTGAGCAACTGAAGGAGGGAAATTTGAAACAGAAATATTTACAATATATTCTAGCATGCAGTGTCCTCAAGAACGTCTGATAGTAACTGCTCCTTCCATTCATGTATTGTTAGAAATATCTTTCAAATTTTTTTATGAAATCATGAAAGCATAATGCATGCTACCACTGAATGCAGAAAATGGTGGGAGCACTTAGTGTTTCTCCACAATGATAAGATGAGTCATGGTAAAAGCCATTATCCCTTATTGATATAGAATTGCATCTGCAATAGGAAGATGTATTAATGTAGAGATCAGACTCGTATCAGAAGATTTTTTTTTTATTTTGAGACGAGAGTAACAATATACAAAAAAGAGGCAATGGCTACACATCCATAGGATGTTTTCAGTATTTAGTGCAGTCTTATTTTGAACAGCTTTATTCTGCACATCCTCTGTTGTTGACCATCTCTCTAAAAGTTTGCACCATTCACAAATTCACAGTCCAGAAGTGAAGTGTGGTCAGTCATCTGACTGTTTGACTACTGAGACGGGAACATGCATCTGCAGAGTCATTTTTAGGACTGAACAGAATGACTGCAGTTGGTCACTGAACATATTTATGTGAACAGAGAATCCAGACATAAGACAGGTATTAAACCGTATATTGCCCAAAGCTACTGTCAGATCCTAAATGACAAAGAGGTGAAAGGAATATATTGAAGGACATATTATATAATTTCACTGTGACGTCACACAGGGGATGATGAGAGATGTCAAAAATCAGAGGGAAGATATTGCCTTTTTATACACGCAGAGAAGGTGATTGAGGAGAAGAAACAAAGCTATGTTTATGTATATATGAGTCACTAAATTAATCAAGCAAATGTAAAGGCAGTATTTCAAAATGGGTACAAAAAAAACCCTTAGCAGATGGTGAATGTCTCTGTCACTGAAGACTAAAGAATCTGTTTTAATGATTGGAATAAAGTGGATTTGATCATCCAGTACTGTGCGGCAACCTTGGGGATTATCTACTGTGTATGAATGTAACCGTGGATGAATATGACCATTCTCTCTACCGTATGTAGCCTCTACCGATAATTTAACATCTACTTTTAAAAGACTTTTGAAAGTACTTCTGTCAATAAAAGCACTGACTCTGATGTACAAGTTGGTAAACCCTGCAACGGGCACCGTCACAAAATGTGCAGAGTAATGTTACATTCTTCAGTTCAATTACAATGAGATTCTATATAGGGTGATTTTTAATGAGAACATTTTTCAGTC